CAATAGCTTCACCCAATCCTTCTGGTTGCACTCACATAATGCCTCAAGTAGACCTCCACCAAAGCATTGACCCGCTCGGTTTGCCCATCCGTTTGAGGATGAAAGCTCGTGGAGAAGTTCAGATCGGAGCCCATCATCTTGAACAACTCGCTCCAAAACTTTCCGGTGAAGCGCCCATCTCTATCGCTGACGATGCTAACCGGGATGCCCCAATACTTCACGACGTGCTTGAAAAACAAGTGGGTTGCATCCTCGGCCGTCATGTCTTTGGGCGCCGCGATGAAGACGCCATACTTTGAAAATCGGTCGACGACGACCATGATGGAACCACACCCTTCGACTTTGGGAAGGCCAATGATGAAATCCATGCTCACGCTTTTCCAAGGTCGTTGTGGAGTGGGTAATGGCTCCAACAAGCCCATCAGACTCCGCTGCTCCGTCTTGTCTTGCTGGCAAACAAGACAAGTCTTGACGTAGAGTTCCACGTCGTCCTTCATACGAGGCCAATAGTAAGCCTCCTCGATGAGAGCTTGTGTGCGCCCAATGTCGGGATGACCAACCCACTTGGAGTCGTGGCACTCCTTCATGATCTCCCTTGGTAGGTTGTCCCACCGCGGCACGAACACTCACTCCCCCTTAGTCACGATGAGCCCACCTTTCATCCAAAACCGTCGAGTGTTCCCTTGCTTGATGTACTCGACCACGGTTTTGGCTGAAGGGGTCGTGCCCAAGGCCTTCTTCAATCCGTTCCTTCAAGGGGAATTGCGGCTGGCTGATGGCAGCAAGTGTGCTCTTTCGGCTAAGAGCATCTGCAACAAGTTGGCTTTCCCCGGCTTGTACTCCAGCACAAAGTCAAACTCTGCGAGGAAATCTTGCCACCTTGCTTGCTTGGGCGTGAGCTTCTTCTGTGTGAGGAAGTAACTTGTCGCCACATTGTCCGCCTTTACAACGAACTTCGACCCAAGAAAGTAATGCCTCCACGTTCTCAAACAATGGACCACCGCCGTCATCTCTTTCTCTTGCACCGCATATCTCCTATCGGCCTCATTGAGCTTGCGGCTCTCAAACGCAATTGGGTGTCCCTCTTGCATCAACACTCCACTGATTGCAAAATCGGAAGCATCCGTTTGCACTACATATGCCTTGGTTGGATCGGGAAGTGCTAACACTGGCTCCCTCGTCACCGCATCCTTCAAGGCTTCAAATGCTTCACGGCACCGATCTGACCATTCCCAAGCCTTGTTCTTCTTTAGAAGATCTGTCAAGGGTGATGCAAGAGCGGAGTATCCCTTGATGAATCTTCTATAATAATTGGCCAGGCCGAGGAATGATCGTAACACGATGACCCTCGTTGGTGGCTCTCATCCTTGTATCCTCCACCTTGGCTTCGTCCATCTTTAGCTTGCCTCCGCCAATGATGTGTCCTAGGAAAGGAACCTCCGCGGCTGCAAACGTGCACTTCTCCTTCTTGACGTAGAGCTCGTTGTCTCGAAGGACTTGGAACACTTGTCGTAAGTGCTCGACATGTTCATCGAGTGTGTTGTTGTACACCACGATGTCATCCAAATACACCACCACGAAGCGATCCAAGAACGGCTCAAATACTTGGTTCATCAAGGTTCAAAAAGTAGCAGGAGCGTTGGTTAGACCAAAAGGCATAACTAAGAACTTATATGAGCCATACCTCGTCACACATGCCGTCTTCGCCTTGTCTCCCTCGGCTATCCTCACTTGATAGTACCCCGAGCGAAGATCAAGCTTCGTGAACCACTTTGCTTCTCCGAGTTGGTCAAACAAGTCGCCAATATTGGGGATTGGCCACTTGTTCTTCACCGTGAGCTTGTTAATGGCTCGATAATCGATGCACATCCGCAACGAACCATCTTTCTTCTTCTGGAACAACACGGGTGCTCCATAGGGGGATTTCGAGGATTGGATGAAGCCAGCATCCATCAACTCCTTGAGTTGCTTCCTCAATTCCTCCAACTCGGGAGGGGCCATGCAATAAGGTGCTCTTGCTGGTGGCGTCGCCCCTTGCTCAAGCTCGATCTTGTGATCGACTTCTCTTCTTGGGGGGAGCTTCTTTGGTAGTTCCTTTGGCATCACATCCACGAACTCCTCCAACACGCCCTCGATGAGAGGTGTTGGCGCCACCGAGCAACCTTCTTCCTTCGCTCGCAAAGTGACAAGGAACGTGGGTCCTCTTCATTCCCTTCACCAATTGCATGGCCGATAAAGCTCTCTTCGGCCCTTCTTCGTGCATCATTTTCACCGCGCAAAACTTATCTCTCTTGTCAAGGCATAGAGTGTTGGAATTCATTGCCATCACCGCACCCTCCTTCTCCATGAAGTTGACGCCAAGAATGACCGGATGATCATCCATAGTGATGACGCTGAAGTCGGCAACACCTTCCCAACCTTCGATCTTCAATGGCACGTTCTTGGCAACACCATGGATGGGTATTGCCTCGGAGTTGACAGTCTTGAGCGATCATTGTCTCTTCTCGTAAGCGATCCCCAAGCGCTCCAACTCCTCCACTCGAAGGAAGTTGTCGGTCGCACCGGTGTCAACCAATGCCTTTGACTCGCCTCCTTTGAATTGGGTGATCACAAAGAATCTCCCCTTGCTAACTTCGTTGGCGCCGAACTTCGCCGCGCCTAGCCTCCGCATGGAGCCTATCTTCCCTTCATCTTCCCTAGCATTCTCCTTGGTCTCCCCTTCTTGTTTCTCCAAGGCTTCTAGTTTGCTCTTCTTTGAGAAATCTCGCACCTTATGTGGACAGTTGCAAAGGAAACAAGACATGGGTTTATCATAGTTACCAGATTTTGCTCCCTTGCTCGAGCCTTTTCCTTCTTTGGAGTGCTGTCGATGATATCCTCCTCCTTTGCTTTTCGAGTTCTTCGACTCGTTCGGCCTCTCACTCTTCTTGTACTCCGTGAGAGCCTCTGCTGTTGCCAAGGCAGTAGCAAGATCTTGCACTCCACGCCTCTCGAGCTCCAACTTTGCCCAAGGCTGCAATCCGAAAAGGAGGCCAAACAAAGCCTCCTTGTCCGGCGGATCGGGGATCTCGAGTAGCAATTCCGAGAACTCCTTGACATACTCACGAATTCCGCTGGTGTGGGTGAGTCGTCGAAGCTTTGCACGAGCTTCCATTTCCACATTCTCCGGGTAGAACTGCCTCTTGATTTCCCGACGGAAATCCTCCCATGTGTCAATCACACATGTACGTCTCTCTATATCACCTTGCCTTCTCCTCCACCAAACCATGGCCGTGTCGACCAAGTAAAGGGAGGCGGTGCGCACCATGACTTCGTTATCATTGATGCCCAAAGCCTTGAAATACTGTTCAAGACTCCAGAGGAAATTCTCTAATTCCCTCGCGTTCCTTGACCCACCGAAGTTCTTCGGCCTTGGAACATCTACTCGTGGTGTAGATTGAGTCGCGGCAGGTCCGTTAGCCACGGCTCGTTTGACCAGATTGAGTTCTCCTCTAAGCTCGTCAAATTCTTCCATCACTTCGTCCACCTGGCCTCGAACGGTCTCCCTCAAGGAGTTGATGGCGTTGGTGATGATGGTCACAAACTCGTCTCTGAAAGCTTCTAACCCCACCTCCAAGCCTGCCATTCGAGTGCACATGCCTTGCATGTCGCCCTTCGAAGTCTGCACCTCTGTGCTGACTTGATCGAATTTCAACTCCATGTCCTCAAACATGGTTGTATGTTTGGCAATCTTCGTCTCCGCCCTCGTGAGCCTCTCCTCGATTGCAACCAAAGGCTCTCGAGTAGATCTACCACGATGCTTCTTGTTGTTTGGATCCTTCTTCTCCTCACGACTGCGTTGTTGCTCATTGTTGAGAACTTCGCTTCCGGATCCAGCCATCTCTTCGAGGTTCTTTCTCACTTGCTGAGCTACGACCTTGACTCTGATACCACTTGTCACTGGCCGTGCGGCACTTAACACTCAAGTCTCGCTAGAGCACTAAGTCAGCCTTGCTCGTATTCACTCAAACTCACAATTATGGAGAAAAGCTCTAGAGATGGAAACTCTCGATTTCTTGATGAATGAAAAGTGATGGAGAGGGCTACTTATATAGGCATCCTCTCCACTAAGTACAATGTACATGGCCGTCATAAATGAACAAACCTAGAAGTCCCCCCATACATGAACTTGCCCCATACATGAATGTAATAAATAAGGTGCATGAATAAAAGATAGATAAGGGGGATGCATGTACTTGCATCCTTCTAGAATGATCTAGAATCTTCCGCGTAACACCACCCCTAGGGCAGTGGTGCTTCCGTGCTTGCACCATTTCCAACAAAAAAAAAATCTTTTAAGTGCTTTCGAATTTCGATCCTTGGAAATCCCATCTACGGCTACCTAACAATCCCTCCACAATTCGAATTTTAGGGAACTTCCGCCCAGGCGGCCCAGCCCAATCCTAGGAAGTGTTCCGTCTCTGTGTGCGCCTCGTTTGTATCATTGGATATCCATATTGGATCAGAGCGGGAGAAGACTTTAGGCCAGGCCGGCATTATTACGAGCCCAACATGGATGATAACCCAAATAGTAAACTAAACTGAAACCAAAATGGCAACAGCCCATTGTGTGGATAGTTTGTATTTTTTTATTATATTTATTTAATTGTCCAGATTTTCTGTGAACGACCAATTTGTCAGACGGCGCAGATCTTTGAATATTATGGCATTGTTGTTGGCTCCTCGTAATCCCGTTCCTTAATAATCTTGCCATTAGTATCCACTATCCCATTATTATTAATAAATCTCATAGCCTACACATGGCAGGCACCCAGTCACCCACCCTTGGCAGCGAACAGCCTTTTTTTGAAATCATTGGAAATTCATTGATATGAACCTAGAGGGTGAACAGATTTTGGGCCGAAACCCCATGGAGAGAAACAAGAAACATAGAAAGGCCCAAAGCAACAATCAAAGGACCAAAGCCCAACAGATGGCCTGAAAAACAAAACCAAAGAGAACTAAGCCCAATAGATGGCCTGAAACCCTAGCACCCCAACCAAAATCCCCAAGAGCAGCAGCCGCCACCTACCACCCAAAATAGCACCCATCGGGCGCACATGCAGAGGCTGATGAAGGGAGATCCGATGACCCAAAGACCGCCGGACAGCAAGCAAACCAAAGCAGAGCGCTTGCAGACGCCACCTCCGAAAGACAAAAGCACGCAGCCAAACCGATGAAAGCGCCAGGGACAACAGTCGAGAGTCTATGAATCTTGATCTCCGCCTTCGAACTCCTTGAAACTGAAACCAACGGGAGATCACAATAGGATTCCCAGACATCTCCGAAACACCAAGCCGCAGCGGTGAAGCAAGGAGGAGGAACAGGAAACAAGAAGGAGAAGGCAGATTAAGGAAACCTCAATCTCCTCTGACACCACCAAAACATCTCAAAAATCATATCTGTAAAGATCAGACATGAGGAAGAAGAAGAAACACCTAACTTCAGAGAAGAGGTGAGAAAAGCTCCGAAAAGGAAGCACGGAAAACAGAAAGCATAACAGAAACAAAAGCAAGGAGAAAGGGGCTACCGCCAGCCGCTCAGAGGCGCCGACGGCAGCCCACAGAGACTAGAACGAGAGACTAGAGAGCGGAGGGAGCGTTTTCAAATAAGAGAGAGAAAAAGTTGAGAAAGGGAAAGGCGGCAACGAACAGCCTACTGCCCTACAATAGACACAAGTTTGATTAATTAATTAATTTTATTTGTTGTTTTGCGGAGTGATGTTATTGGTTAGGGGCGCATTAGAATATCCCTAATCTAGGGATGACAATTTCGATCTGACTCGTTTTACCCGATCTGTTTGACCTGCTTTGTGGCGGGTCCGACCCACGGGGCGGGCATGGGTACCTCTCATCGATCCGACCCACCCCGACCCGCCCATTCTTGACCCGTTATTGCCTAAATTACATTTAATCTTAGTAAAATTATTTAGGACTTTTCTCTTATTACCTCATATTTTAGCTATAAATAAACTTGTAAATAAGTGAAAACCTTAATTTCTCCAATAATTTAACTACATTTCATCATATTATGGTTTCTTTCTTGGCCTTTTAATGAAAATAACGAATATTTCTAATATTTTTCACATAAATTAGATACCCATTGGATCGACCTGCCCCGACCCGCGCCCAGTAATAAATTACCCGACCTGTCACGGAACGGGTATGAATATCGAGATACCGCCCCGGACGTGCCCATTGCCATTCCTACCCTAACCTTAGATATTGGCGCTGTATTGTATAAGTTCCCTAGCTTAGCTACCTTGTTGGCTGTCTGTCCTTATAATCAATTTTTCTAGTTAAATTCCAGACAGACAAACAAGGTGCAGAATATGGAGCAAGGACAAAACTCAAAGGTCTCCTCCTTTTTTTTTTTTTTTGGGTTCAACAATGTAGCCAATTCTGCAAATGGCCGTGATGTGAACGGGCATAAACTGATGAAGCTACAGATGGATCGTGAAAGCCACTTTGTTCGTATTCATCTATGAAGAAGCTGACCACTTGCATGCATATGCATATAAATGGGATGGAATGAAATAACAAGCTGCAGGGATATGATATATGTGGCAGAAAAAGCAAAGCAGCCACAAATACATGCATCAATCCGTCCTCTCATTTTGTAATTGTATCCAAATGAATGGATGAATTATCAATTGTGCATATTGTGAGAGGGAGATAATGGTGGGATTAATTAGGCTTCACATTGAGGTTTGTGGCCGGTGATCAAGAGAATCGTCTACGGGGGTTGGGGTTTCATTATCACCCATAAATTGCAACAATAAATCATTTATAATTAAGTTATATGGACCCACCTGCCCGACCCGTGATTAGGGTTGTTAATGAGCCGAGCTATTCGTGAGCGGTTTGGTATCGAACTTTCAATCTTAATGATGTGTCAAGATTTAATAAATGAGCTGACTTATGTTCGACTCGATTCGGCTCATTCATAAACGAATCGAATTCGGCTCGTTTATAAACGAATCAAACTCGGCTCGTTTATAAACGAGCCGAACATAAACAAGACAAAACTCGGTTCGACTCATTAACAACTCTACGGCCGTAATATATTAATTGATTTATAGCCGACTTGTCACAAAGTGGATATATACAGCAACACGAGAAGCCAAGTAAGTACAAGGGAAGCAAAATAGGGAGGAAATATAAAATGTGTGCATTGCCTTTGCTTGTTAATTGTTGGGCTTTTGTTTTCGCAATGGGTAGAACAGAAGGAAATGAGCTGTTGCTTGCTTGGGTTTCTTCCTCTCTGTTACATTTAATCTTCAAATTCGTTTTTATATAATTTTCCACGCCTATCCTCTAGACTCCAGCTCCGAGCTCTTTTCAGGACAGCTAATTCTAATTAGCAAGTCACTCCAAATTCAAATCACCGTGTATTATATGAGCATTTTTATCCTACTATACAATTTAAGTACCATAATGTTAAAAGTACAAATTGAAGTTGTATTATACAGTAATTTGAACTTTTATGTTATGCTACAACTTCAAGTTGTATATGTGCAACTTCAGGTTGCACCATAACGTCAAATATACAACTTCACATTGTATCATAAACGCAAAAACTAAAACACCAATTCTTTAAAGGATAGTAAAATTCCTCATATTGTATTGCATCTCCTCTAGAATGCATACACTTGTCCAGCTCTTTGTTGCCATACTAGGTATAGTCGTATAGGTATGGCCATTAAAACCGTAACAACGAGTGTTTAATTGTACCCAATTCAGTCAACACATGGAATTTCCATGTTTATTGGGTATAGGGTGTGTGCGGGAAAAATCCGTAAACCAATTGGCGAAGATGAAACGAGAAAGGTTTTAGACTCTTATGTCCTATTTCGATACATAACCATATCCGTCTACCAATACTATTTTCAAATATTAAAAAACAAACTAATCACACCGTAATTCATCAAAGACAAAATGGTAACTATAGAGCAAAATATTGATTTCTGACATACTGGTAGATATATATACCAAATGGATGATTTGAATTAGTGTTATGAATGGCTGTAAATGTGTTGGTCGAGTTCATGGTTCATCATATTCGTTTAATCTTTTTTAACTCCAATTCACATGTATATTAAGCTTCATCGTATTTACTAAAGTATAATACTATGAAGCCTACAGCTACAGCGCCGTGTGTATCCGAAAATTACATATATGAGATGAGTATAAATTTGAGTTTTTAAAAATGAAGATGTGAATGGTTTAGAGAAAACCTACTCCATAACCATCCCTACCTCCAACTGGATTTATGTATATTCAGCAATATAAGACTACATCCGAAAAAACAAATGAAATTGATCTAGGCATACATGGCAGACCAACAATGAGGTGTGTCAAGATGTCCTTCGGCATAGGACCTCTGAATATTAGCGGACTTTATCGTAGGTCTGTTAGTTGATTCAATTATGTATCGTATAATAAACTTGTGGTTTACGATAAATTGATTATGATGATGTGTTTGAATATGTTAATTAATACTTGTGCTAGTCGTCGATCAACATTCTCATATATATACACGAGTCATGTATATTTATCGTTGAAGTCAAATTTGCGTTATGAAACCCTTAATTATGTTATAGAATGGTGCAAGAAAATTTTAATGGATTAACGGTGATGATTGAACATGATTTCTTACTAAACACAAAATAAAAGAATTACTAGATATTCATGAGAAATTTTACAAAACTATATAGTATTGGTGCTATAGGGTTTTGTACCTATACTTTTTGTACAAATTCTTTTATGGTACAACTTGAACTTGTACCTTTATTTGATGGTACAACTTCAAGTTGTAAAGTTGTACCATAGCATAATGGTACAAATTGCTTTATGGTACAACCTAAACTTATACATTTAATGTTATGATACAACTTTAAATTATACATTAAAGCACCAATACTATATAACATAGTAGAAGTGCTCAGATATTCATTGAACCACCCGATATACAAGAATACCTCCACCGTACACTTTTGAGGCCGACTGAACTTAATATGTGTAGACATGTAATGATTCAATTGAGTTTAACCGTCTCGAATACCTTAGATAGCGAAAGAGCATCAACAATAAAGATGGAAGTCGACATGAGATCTCTCCTCCCTCTCCAACCACCTTCACCACCACCACGGCTCTACTAAGAATTGGTGAAATTCTCAGAATGTCGGTTTTGTTTTCCCCTATTTCCTTTTACAATGATGTGTCATCTAACGACAATTAGAACAAGACATACAAACTAAAGTAGTTAAACGTTTGACTTAATTGATGATAGCCCACCATTTCCACTTCCACAGGCAAAAAAAAAAAAAAAAGCTATAAGTATCCCCAACGTGTACGAATTGGTTACTATCATAATAGAGGTTTGTGGTGAGTATATACTTAGAAAGATCAAAGCTTGATGGACATTCATTGTTGCCCACATCCAATTCTAGGGAGGAGTGGAGGACCCAAACCGTCACGACATCCGATCACACAAGACATGTTAGTGACACTCTTTTTTATTTGTTATTATGTGATATTCTGTGGCTAGGAGGGGTTAGAACACCCTTGTTGTTTAAACTGGCGAAATCACGTTCCGATATTACATATTATGGTTCAATAATATTCGACTGAGTTTTTATTCAAGACCTTGTTGTTCTTGCTCGTTTGCTTTTCAGCCATTAATCTTATGGATAAATTCTTGATTATTTGGGAGAATTAATTCAAGAAACCGTAGATATGTATCTGGATCACCAAGGCAAGAACCATCAATATTTTGAATATGCATGCTATTGATGAAATATTGTCCCGGTATGATTCGATAGAGTATACGATAAATCACATATATTTCTGTTAGTTTATTGCGATCGAGAAATCGCCTATACCATTGATGAATGGAAATTATTAAAGGATAGGAATTAAAACTAAGCTAATACATGATTTAACTGATTTATTAATTTGTTAAACTCTATGTAGACAATGCCTTTTAGTTGCTTGGTTCGGTTGGTAAAGACTGGACTCTGGCTTTTGTTTTTGAAAATATTCAATTATTTATGTTTCGTGCTTTTACTTTATGTTTGGTTTAAGTGCGGGTGGTTTCAATTCCTGGTTAATATATAATCTGATACAGGTTTCGATAAAAAAAAAGTTTGGGGTGGTTTTTTACTTGCTTTAGTTATGGATTATTTACAAACGGGTTTTCTATTTTTTAAACGAAATTTCATGGCACCTTAATCACACATAATTTATTGGATACCGACCTTTGGTTCGAAATTGGCGAAGAAAGGAAGTCTTAGTAAATACAAAACATTAAACAAAAAAAATTTTAGCACATAACACTGACGGACATACTACTCGATCATCACTTTGCCATCTAAGAAAAGGCAAGACCTTTCAATCATATCATATGCATTTTCCATACTCATTTTTCAGGGCCATAAAAGATATTGCTTCGCACTATAATGATTTTTTTAGACCGTGTGTGAAACATGATTTTGGTCAGTTGGTTTATTAACAATTAAGCAAAATGTTTGTAAATTATTTGGCAAAGATAAATATGTCTCAATCAAGCGTGCCTTGTTTTAATTTTGTAAATATGCAAGAGGTGAATAGTAAGGTAATTTTGAAGTTTTGTCCTTGTTTTGTGTACATATCATAAACATGTCAAACGTATAGAAAATGGCAGTAATGTAATTTTTGAATTCAAGTAGTAAATCCCACACCTTTAAATCCATAATAAAAACATCCCAACAAACAAAGGATTGTTACAAATCCATGATGCCTCAAATCCTTGATAAATCCTTGGGTTTTTAAATTACAAAACCCTCATTTTTAAATCCATGAAGCAAACGACCCCTAAATTTATGACAATATATAAACGGTGGATTTTCGAAATCAAATCTACATCCAAATCGCACTTTGTAAATTTACACTACCGTCTGGAACAAATTCCGTAGGAAATGAAAACGAAAATACTAGATTTTTGGCAAGTCCACTGCCGAACTAATCGCACTCGAAAGCGGGAGCGGCAATCTTAGAGAGAAGCGAATTAGGTGACTAGACGATTAACTTTCCACCAGCAACAGCAGCACCAACGTCTATGGATCTATCGTCGCCCTCTCTTTCTCTCCCCGCTGTCTGATTCTTCTTCCCTCATCGCCGTTTCTGCATTCGCCGGTAAGTCGCAGTTCTTACTCATCCCACCTCGCCTCTCCCCATTTCTCTTCCTTTGACTTTTGTTCTTCCGTTCCTCCTCCGCTCGGCTTTTGGGGTGTTTAGATCGGCTTGTATATGTACAGATCTTGCTGGGTTTTGATTCTCTCTTTGATTTCTTTCCTGAATATGGCGTGCTGGCTCTGTCATTGCTGCTTTACGAGCTACTTTCCGCCGTTCAATTCTCGAACTATGAACTTCCGTTTCACCAGTTGGTTTGTTCTTTCCCTTTGGCTGTATGCGGATCTCTGTGTGCATTTTTCTTGTTTCAGTTTTATGCCGTCTGTATGTATGTCCTTGACACATCAGGTTAATTTTTATCTGATTTTGGCAGTGAAAAGGTCTCCTTTTTGGTGCTTTCTTAATGGCATTTCACTGCCTTTTGTTTGATTGTACAGAATTTACTATCTTTTGAACTTTCTGCTTGCTGGGTCTCAGCAAGTGAAAGGGGGATTCACACATTGCTGAGCTCTGGAGCTTATAAAGCTATTGATTGATATTGGGGGTTGTCTGCCGGCTTTGTTCTTGCTAACCTGCTGCTTGGACAGGTGTGATATTTTCTTTGAGCAGTCATGGCTTGCTAGAAATCTGTCTGCATAATCCAGCACAATCAGCAACATTTCTATTTGTTATTTTTGCAGCCTCTATTTTCCTGGAGTTGACCAGCTTGTGGAGATTATTAAGGTAACCGATGAGTTAGTTTTTTGTTAAAAGAGTTTCATGTTTCTGATCTTCACTTAAGTAATAGTCGAGTTGGGTCGTTACCGGTGGCATGCAATGCGACTCTGTTATTCTATCTGTAGGACTTGGGTATTCCAACAACGGAAGAGATCAAGTGTATGAACCCAAATTACACAGATTACCAGTTGCCTCAGATAAAGGCTCACCCGTGGAACAAGGTAAGCGTGGAGGCTCTTTTATGTGGGTGCTTTTTATGTGGCAGTTGATGGCCTACTTAGGAATCCATGTGTCCCTAGGTATGCCACAAGTGCATGCCGACATAGGCCGTTGATCTTGTCTCAAGACTTCTGCAGTTGTCGTTGTTCTGTTCTTCGCTCTCAGATTTTCTCCCATTATCCAGGAAAATGGCGGGCAGTCTGAAATCGGATATGTCGCAGAAGACTATTTTAGGTCTCCAAGTATGGGAGCTCATTTGCATCTGCATTGCACTGTTCATCATCATCATCTTAACTGTCTCCATCTACCTAGTCTCTCGTAAGAAGTCTTCCTCCACCAAAAGAATCTCGCACCTGAACCAGAACCAGAACCAGCAGCAGCTTCCGCTCTCTCAAATCCCGTCCGAGTCCAAGGAGATCAAGGAAGTCCGAGTGGAGCAAATCTCAACGGACGAGTTCGTCCCTCGTGAAGGAATCCTCCTAACAATCCATGACAAGTCGAGCGACAAGGATGCTGATAAGGTCCTTGTCCATCTCGGCATGCCCAAGTCCAAGAATGGTAACGGCAACGCGAACTCCAATGGCGATGGTGACAACAACAGTCAGTCAGGTGGTTCATTCCATCAATATGACAAAGGCGGCATTGTTTCCCACTCTGGTGATCAAGGAGGCAGCTCAGCTGGTGCGGTCTACAGGGCTTCCTCTGTTGCTTCCCAACACTACCCGATCACTGCTCCTTCTCCGCTCAGTGGGCTCCCTGAATTCTCTCACTTAGGTTGGGGTCATTGGTTTACACTCAGGGATCTTGAATTGGCTACCAACCGCTTCTCTAAAGAGAATGTCCTTGGTGAGGGTGGCTATGGAGTTGTTTACCGTGGAAATCTCATCAATGGCACTCCCGTTGCTGTCAAGAAGATTCTCAACAACTTGTGGGTGTGCTTTTTGTTGTTAGCGTGTGAACGTCCATTTGCCATTTTGCCAGAATATTTCTTTCCCTGAACCTTACAGCTGATTACTGTCTGTTCTTTAAGGGGCCAAGCTGAGAAGGAATTCAGAGTGGAAGTTGACGCGATTGGGCATGTCCGCCATAAGAATTTGGTTCGTCTTCTTGGGTATTGCATAGAAGGGACTCACAGGTGCGCTTTCACCTTCTTTTCTGCTTGTTTTTAATTCTAGAATGGACATTACTATAGAAGGACTGTCTTTTTAGATGCCACTAGTTAATTAGCCCAAGTTGCTACGTTAGCAATCTGACTGCATGATTAAATTGCCTGGTTATGAAACTAGTTCAAATCTTTTTGTCTTCTTTGTGTTTGTAAGCTAAGATTTCTGTCCCTGAATCATTTAAAGACCGAGTCATTTAATGTGATAAATTGACAATGCTTGTGTTTCAGACTTGATATTGTAATGGGCTCAAATATTGGGGGGAAAAAAACATTAACATGATGCGTTATCACTTATCAGGCATATAATAATAAGTTGTTATACTCCTGTTCAACACAGGAAATATAGGAACACCTTAAAAAATGATTGTGCGTAGACAATTTGAATCCATCCATCTATTAAAAATGCAGCTAATGCAATCTATTTAAATTCAACTCATTTTATCCAAATCCAATTGGATTAATACATAACTGAATTGCTGGAAAAAGTATCGAATTTTATATTTTATAATTTGATATCTAAATTTTAATTCTTCAATGAAATATATCATTCAAAAAAATACATTTTGATACCTAATTTATTTAGAATGATATTTAGCACCTAAACTTTTCTAAATTTTCTTGATGGTCCAAAGTTTAAATGCCATTTGGATCATGAATCCACCAATATGAACCACGGTTTTACAATCCAGTCCACCAAGCTATGAATCTAATTCATTTGCCACCTCTATTTGCTATGATTAATATCAATTGAACAGTAGGGTTGATACCCCAGTTTGGTGTGAACTTTGCACAAAAGCGCGAACTTTTCGAAGCCGATAAATTGTCATAATTTGAAACATAGTTGATATATTTTGGTATCACCTTTTGGTTGACTGAAAACTTTGTTGGTAAACCATTTTGACAATTAGTGACTTTTTGGTCATGACTGAAGTGAATGCCATGTTAATAACAAAAAATTAAAAACCTCTATTTCTATAAGATGGGGATTAGATTTGTTCCATCAAAAGAATAAATTTTCTTTTGATATAATAAAAATGTATTTTCTTATTTGTTATAATTATTGGATGATTTTTTAAAAAAAAATCTTGTTCGTGATGTAGCATTCACGTTAGCCTTAACCAATCAGTCATTAATGGTCAAGAAGATTGACCGTTAAATTTGAAGGTAAACTAAAAGACCAAGTAAAAACATGCCTATCATTTTAGGATACGGAAAAGTTAGGGATTTCGAAAAATTAGGGCCAAATTAGTCTTTTAGCGAAGTTCGGACCAAACTTGGGTATTATTATTAACCCTAAATAGTACTTGAGGAAATAAGATACTTGAAATACGTGCAATCACCAAGTCTCAACAACAGTAAAGTGACGCTGCCAAATATTGAACAACGCAAGCAAAGGAGTCAAATAATTATGTTGAAGTTGAGAACTGATTTAATGGTTTAGATGGACATCCTAGTTCATAGCTCTTATTCCATAGATAGAATCTGAGCTTTCAATATTCTTCACTGAGGAAGTAAAACAAGTATCAGAATGAAAGAAAGAAGTGAGCGAATATCTTAGCAGTTTACAAAGGGTTGAATCTGCAATAGGATGCAATGTCAATCAATTTGACATACCATCAGTACATTCTCAACCTGGCAGCTAATACATCCTCGAAACTGAAAAGGGTGAGATGTGTATCATTTCTTTCTTCATCTCCATTCACGATCTTGTAGTCACTCACAACATTAATTCCTTCCAATTTCAGTGATATGCCAAATCAGAAGAACTTAAGTAGTACTAACAAGTATTCTTATCTGATGCAAGACTAGTTACCTAGCATGCGTTTCCTTCTGAAGGCAGCAAACGCGGCGAACCTGGTTATAGCAATCAAGTCTAGAGAGCCACATATGTAAACCACCAAACTATTTTATGATTATTACTAAACTCTTTCATGAGTTAGTTTATGAATGTCAAGAACTTCTCCAAACCAAACCAGGAACTGTTCTATTGATTATTACCACACTTGGTATTCTATAACAACCCTTATGACAAACTCTGTCATCAGTAAGTTTATGAATATCGATATCCTCTTTAAACCAAACCAAGGACCTTGAGTCCTTGTCCCATTTCTTCTCTGCCAGTTGGGGTCTGCTGCTGCTAAGCGACCGGTGGAGAAAGGTGTTGACTGTTGATATTGTGAGAGGACAGCAGGCGCTAACTTTGGGCATCTTGCGTCCTCACCTGTATTAATTTTGGATCACTTCTTCCAATTTTTGTCCTCATTCGTACAGGATGTTGATTTATGAGTACGTGAACAATGGAAACTTGGAACAGTGGCTTCATGGAGCCATGTCTCACCATGGATATCTTACGTGGGAGGCCAGAATGAAAGTTCTCCTGGGCACAGCCAAGGCGTAAGATGTCTACTCACCCTCTTTGCACGAACAAGTTTTTTTTTTTTAGGTATGCTCTTATAGGATATTATTCCGTTGCATGATTTTCTTGCAGGCTTGCTTATTTGCACGAGGCCATTGAGCCAAAAGTGGTGCATCGTGACATTAAATCTGGCAACATTTTAATAGATGATGACTTCAACGCCAAGGTTTCTGATTTTGGGTTGGCTAAGTTGCTCGGAGCTGGAAAAAGCCATGTCACTACTCGAGTGATGGGAACTTTCGGGTTTGTGATTTATTACTTCAGATTTTTTTATTTCATGGTAGTGCTTGTAGAATTGGACACGTCATTCTAAGTAAATAATGTTGCAGATATGTGGCGCCTGAATATGCCAATAGTGGCCTTCTGAACGAAAAGAGTGATGTTTATAGTTTTGGTGTTGTGGTCTTGGAAGCAATCACAGGAAGAGACCCAGTAGACTACAGTCGTCCCGCAAACGAGGTATGCATTTCCACATATACCATTTGCATTTTGGGTGACCACGGAACCAATCATTGTTCAGGCTTGTAAAGTGTAGCAAGCAAGCTAGTCCAGTTCTGCCGAGCGAAAGGCTACTATTCTTCCTCTGAATCTGAGCTCTACTATGTGGCACTGACGGTCTGTGATTGTCGCTTGTGCTACAGGTAAATCTTGTGGACTGGCTGAAAATGATGGTGGGGAGCAGGATGTCAGAAGAAGTTGTAGACCCCAACATGGAGACGAAACCATCAACAAGAAATCTGAAGAGAGCCCTTTTGACGGCTTTGAGATGCGTGGATCCCGACTCTGAGAAACGACCAAAGATGGGGCAAGTTGTAAGAATGCTGGAGTCCGAGGAATATCCTATTCCAAGAGAGGTGATGTTGATAAATCCTCCGCTTTCCACTCTGCTCTGTCCTCCATTTCTTGTGTTCCTCCTTTGATCTTATCGTATCATATACCGATCTAGTAGACTGAATGAATGTTGACATTTTGTTTCATCAAAATCAGGATAGAAGACATCGAAGAGCCCCGGGAGGTAGTATGGAGACAGAATCTCAAAAGGAGAATTCAGACAGCGATCGCCCATTAGCACCGGGAGGCGAGAGCAGCAGCAGGAGGTCTTAACTGTCGACTAAACCAAACACCAACACGATTACCTCGCACACTTCATAAAAGCTATGGAAGAGGAGGGGAAGGGTTGGAATAACGGGTCACCAATCATGTTTATCTTCTCATTATTTGAGAGTCAGTTCTTAAGTTTGATCGTTGCTAGTAGGGGGTGGCTTGGTTGTGCTTTGGTGGGGGGGGTTACGTCATTATTGGATTTGGATCGGTTCAGATGTTCATTGTTATAGTTTCCTTTGGTTGTACCTCTTGGAGTTTCATCAGTAGGAAGATGGAAGGAGTGTGTCCATGGTGTTTTCACTTTTTCCTTTACATTTTGTTCATATATTGGATTGTAATGGGAAGGGGAAATGTAAGTGGTAGCAAGCAAGGTGGTATACGTTGATAGGAAAGGTAAACTGTGTATGTGTTGTACAGTGAAGTAGCATATAGAACACCTGAAATTTGTGAGGGGAGGGTTGGTGTTTGGTGTTTTTAATATTTTGGCCTATTTGTTTGAAATCATTGCCAGTTCTTCTGTTGGTTGCAGTTCAGGATGGCTGATGAAGTGAAAAATATTCTTCTATGCTAAGTAATAAATGATCTTCTGTGACAGTTACAGCATATTGTCTGGTTATCTATTACTATATATGCATCCATCTTTCTTCCGTATTCAAGTACACGGTGTTTCCCTGCGAAAGTCAACTCTATTACACTATATCCTTATATATATATAAAAAGTTTAATACCTTAGTTTATCCCTAACTATAGACAAACTTCCTATTTTGGCCCGTGGTATCGGAAATTGCTATTCTGGCCTAAACTATGTAGCATACTTTCTTATTTGGCCCGGAGGTGGGTTTGACCGTCAAATTAGACGGTCAACCGAGTTGACCATTAGTTAAGGTCCACCTCACTTGCCACATCAGGAATAAAAAATTAATTTTGATTTTTTTTTACTTTCTAATAATAAAAATAATAAACGAAAAAATAATTAAAAAAGCTCCCCAAATTATTTTTATTTAATTTTAGAAAGTAAACAAAACTCAAAAATTCAAAAAATAATAATTTTTTATTCCTTGATAACTGACGTGGCAAGTGAGGTGGACTTTGACTAACGGTCAAACCCGCCTCCGGGCCAAATAAGAAAGTATGCTACATAGTTTAGGCCAGAATAGCAATTTCCGATACCACAGGCCAAAGTAGAAAATTTGCATATAGTTCGGGCCAAACTAAGGTATTAACCAAAAAAAAAAAAAATCTATTACACTATATGCAATTATGCATCCATCCCAAACTTTCTTCCGTATTAATAAAATGTTTACCTCAAACTCAGCTTGTTAGTAAACAAACACAAGTTTCAAATGAATTTTTCCTGAATTGAACATCCAGCTGCTCACGAGTAATTCTGCCCATCTGCAGCCCTAATTATAGGCTGCAGATGATATCCACAAATCGAGTCCCATACCAGAAGTTTGAGCAATAATTGCTGATGATCGCCACTACTCTCTCCAAATTCCATTCATCAACATCACCAGCAAACCAAAACCCACTACTTCCCGTCTTGTCACGGCTCCAAAATCCCAGAGAGAACAAACACTTCACACTCCATGAAAAAAGATTCCAAATTAGATAGTGGAAGCCAATACGCAAGTGAATCGAGTGCATGTTATGAAGATGGGCCCGGCCCAGTCCAGGGGCCCGCAGCCGCTCTTCCTTAATTTGTGCTGCGAATGAAGATGGGCGGGTTTAAGTGCGGGCCCAGTGCCAGCCGAAGATCCAACCTCCACAAAGCCCCCATGCCGTGCGCCGATTGTCAACCTTGTCATTATTCCATTTAATTACATTCATTTATTAAATAATTGACGGATGGTTGATGCGATTGAGACGGTCCACGTCTCTTCTCCAGTTGAAGTGTTGTTGTTTTCAACTGAACTGTACTGAAGGAAAATTTACCCACCCACTGTTTGCGTTAATCCTCGACGTAATTCTAACCGGATCAATAATTAGTACACTAATGACGGGAGTTAAGGTTTGGGCGCGTTACTCGGCATGTAATTAATTCCTTTCCGGCCATTATTTAATTCACCGGAGAAAGTCTGCGTTTGATCGAGGTAGCTTCCGGTTCCGGAACGTGACCTCTGCAGACTGCAAATGGACCTCTGTCCCTTCTGTCTCTGCATAATTATATATTAACCAGGGGATTAAAAAAGAGAATGGGATACAGCCAGACATCCCAACAAACAAACCTACCTTGATTAAAGTTAGATTCATTCAAGAAACTTATTAGATTAAATATAAATCCGAAGGAGAAAAAGCCCGGCAAAGGAAAGCAGCTGATCCGCCTAACAGCTACACACCCAAACAGTACAGACATAGTACTGGAGCCACCCACTTGCAGAACCCAGTCACACCGGTCTTAATCCGATAACTCGAATTATTGGGAGTAAGGATAGGTTGTGTTCACATTATTATTCTACTTTTTCATGCTTAATTGATGGATTGATTCCGGGAGATCTGGCATCATAAGTATTGGCTTTTTCCTTGTTTGCTTTCCTTGCTAGCTTTCTTCTTCTTGTTCTTCTACTACTGCTCTACTCTCTTCCTAGTCCATCTCCTGCTCTCCATTTTTACGAAGCTTATTGCTACAGTTGTAATTTTTGTGAAATAATATAACTTTTTGAAGAAAAGGGGAGTGAAAGTTGTAGCCCACTAGTGTTGTCAAGTAGTACCCCAGTTAACTATATATGATGAGCACGTAGCAGAAAGGGGACAGAGGAAAGCAAGCCAGCCAGCCCCAGTCCTACCCTGCATTTTGTGCGGCATTCCTCCACCCGCCGACACGCCTCCATCTCCATTTTCTTGCTGCCTGCTTCTTCTCCTGATTGCGAGATTGGAAGGTGGGAAATGATGAGCAGCAGGGTTTTCATGATTTGGGTCTGGGCGGTGGTCGTCGGGATACCGGCGGCGACGGGAGATGGGTGGTTCCATGGGGAGCGAGTGTACGAAGAAGCTGAAGAGGCGGCGTTGATATACACCAATGTCACTGGTGTTTACTCCCCCAAGTTTCACGGTAATGAATCCAAAGCGGTTTACTCTCCGCTAATGGTCGGTCTCACCCTCATCCCTGCAGCTGCGGCCACAGGAGCTGGTAATCTTCTGCGCTATGCTTTTTCCATTCCTCTTTCTCTCTTACAGCGGGCAAAACCCAAAAGCAGGAAGCTAGTTGACACACTTGCCTAATTTGCTGCTTCTAGTTGTATTATTTATACAGAATGCTTCAGTAACTTTGTTGCCAATGTCGACCGATGGAGTTTTCTGCTGTCCTAATCATTGTCTGCTTCCATTTTTGCTTCTTTCTTTGGAATGAATCTGGCAGTTTGCTTGGATGGAACCTTGCCTGGGTATCATTTACACCGTGGATTTGGCTCTGGAGCAAATAGTTGGCTAATCCAATTGGAGGTTTGTTTGGACACTTTCTACCTAGCTAATACAAGCAGTCCTTGAGGATTCGATTACTTTAAGGGGACTCATGATTGTCATATAAACCCTAGCTGACTGACTGACTGACTGGCTTGCTTTTCCTAATTGGTGTGAAGCTGGAAAGTAGCCTTCTCTTTTGGAAACTGAATGGCTCTGGCTTATAGCGAAACAACCCATTTCATTTGGCGCCCCTTTAACTTGTGCATGCAGGGAGGAGGGTGGTGCAACAGCATTAGAACCTGTGTATACCGCAAAACTACCAGACGTGGTTCATCTAGATACATGGAGAAGCAATTGGCTTTCACGGGGATCTTGAGCAATAGAGCTGAAGAAAACCCTGGTTCGTTACTTTATTATTGCCCACGATTACTCACTTTAGAATTGATAGAGCTGTCTGTTCATTTGAGAGAGACATAATCAATCTACCACATATTCTATTCTGTTCAGACATTTAACATGATGATAAACTTCCAGCCACCGAATTGATTATGCCAATTGGTAGGACTTCAACGTCGGTGTCACCTGGCTAACTTCACCTGTGTTTGTTTGGCAATACAGATTTCTACAACTGGAATCGTGTAAAGGTCCGGTACTGCGATGGTGCTTCATTTCTCGGCGACAGTGAAAACAAGGTTGGCTCCCTTTAGTTTTATGTCTTGAGCACTGCACTTTACATTGAATGGCACTTTAATGATATGAGAATTCCCTCTGATATTTTAAATGTTTAGGCAGCACAGCTGCAATTTAGAGGGCAGCGGATTTGGGTAGCTGCAATGCAAGATCTTATGTCAAAGGGAATGCGCAATGCCCACCAGGTCTCTATTTTCTTTCCTTTCCCTTACTGTGTCTTATTTGATGTATCATGTCATTCTCTATACCTGGCTGTAACGAGTAAGTAACTAAGGGGTGCATGGTTGCATTTCAGGCTCTTCTCTCAGGGTGCTCTGCTGGGGGCCTGGCTACTATTCTACACTGCGACGAGTTCAGTGAATTGTTCCCCAGGACAACCAAAGTGAAGTGTCTGAGTGATGCTGGCCTGTTTCTTGATTCGTAAGTTTCTAACGTTTCCTTCTAATGAATGTTTTGCTTTCCCTTCTCTTCCTCATGCTCAAGTCGTTCAAGGACTGAGATTTCCTGTTACTAATTTGCTTAGTCGGTAACGATTCGAGTCTGGCTTTTGGTTTTGGACAGACTCGACGTAGCTGGGGTGCGTACTCTCAGGAACATGTACAGTGGTGTAGTGAGTTTGCAGGTACAGTCTCAAGCACAATTTTGCTGATTGCTCCTCTCTTTCTATCCCTCCTGTCTAGTTAAGTTGAACCTTGTTGAAATCTAAATTTGTGATGTTCAACATCAACAGGGGGTGGGAAAGAACCTGCCTCGTGTGTGCACCAACCATCTGGATCCAACGCTGGTATGGCATTCCTAACCCAGCCTCCCTTTCATCTTTCATTTCTGCGTATGTTTGGGGTCTGGGTCAGGCATCCGTGTAGTTGGCAAAATAACTAACTCCGGAAACTTGTCACCTTTTCTACTGCGTCAGTGCTTCTTCCCTCAGCACATAATTGCTAGCGTTAAAACGCCGCTGTTCATTCTCAATGCGGCCTACGATTCCTGGCAGGTGAGCCCCATTGTATATTGAGCGTGCATGAGATTGGTGTTATCTATTCCCCTAAGATTTCCAGAAAGAAACTTCTTATATGAATTGAATCTGGTTGTTATTTGATGGATTCAGATCCAGTCCAGTTTAGCTCCACCCTCTGCAGATCCCCATGGCCTCTGGAATGACTGTAGAAAGAACAATGCAAGATGTAATCCATCACAAATCCAATTTCTGCAAGGTATGTAACTAATACATGACCAGCTGCTGATTGGGCATGAACACATTGGTCAGAAGTGATGATTGATCAAACCTGACTTAGTTGCTCCTTAAAATAAAAAAATAAAAAGGTTTCAGGAACCGAATGTTGAGAACCGTAAGAAGATTCTCAATGTCCAAGGCGAACGGGATGTTCATCAACTCGTGTTTCGCCCACTGCCAAACGGAGAGACAGGATACGTGGTTCGCTGATGATTCTCCTGTCATCCGGAACAAGGTGACCAATCATTTTCTTCCCCATGCACCTAATGGCTAGTAATGTCTAGGAGTAGGCAGGCTTTGAAGTTCATGTTTACTTTGCATGGTTCCTTCTCTTCTATAGCTAGTTGAATCTAACCAAAGAAGTGATGTTACAGGCCATTGCTCTAGCGGTTGGGGATTGGTATTTCGGGCGTTCAGCAGCACGAGCAGTCGACTGTGCGTATCCATGCGACCAGACTTGCCACAACTTGGTCTTCAAATGATACAGATGCAAAGGCTCTGCAACCATATATCAATCGTTTGTTCACCTTTCTATATGATGTTGGTCGTTGGAATGAAGGAAAAGAAGGTGGGGCGGTATAGCTATACTGCTATAGTATTGTTCTGTGAGGTTCTCGTTCCTTTGGTTATTGTTTCTGTACGTAGTTGCACATTGCATACTGGGTACAGAAGGTGAAAGCTCATAGAATAATCACCACCTTGGTGAGCTAACGCGTCGCGCGCCTCTCCACATTTCCATGTTACTACTCTATTTGTTACGTATCAAGGTTGTCAACTCGCGGGTTGACCCGGACCCGGTTGAGCTAGTGGGTCAAGGGTTAATGGGTCATCCGGTTTAGCCCGGAAATATGGAAAGCGTCATTATATTGTACTTATCCAGATAAATTATATCAAATCTCATCTAACATATGAGTTATAACATATAATATTACACCAAAATAACATTTCGTACTTAGATTCAACATATAGTAAAAATTCACACACACTTATATAACTTTAACATTCAAATGTTCAACTTAAAATTCCAAACATTGAGTTAGGCGAAAAGAAACATCGGAAAATAGACGCATTTCGCAATACAAAGAAAAAAATGACACAATTTGACCTCAAACCCAGTACCTTGTGGCGGTCAACCCGGCGGGTGCGTGCGGCCCGTTTTTCTCACCGGATCAGGGTCAAAGTGGGTCAACCCGCGGGTCGACCCGCGGGTTGACAACCTTGTTATGTATTCGTTAAGGGTATTTTAGTATATTTAGTTGACAGGTCGATTAGAATTTCGTGTCGGAGTCTATACAAGTGTACTTAATCGGATAAAATGATGCCGAATATTGACAAAAGTTACTCGTTTTCTCTGCTTCAAGTTCCATCTTCCCTCCTGTTATTCTGTATTTGCATATTTTCCTGTCTTGTCTTTCCATCCTACATTCCTATTTCTGTTCAATTCTCACTTGTTGAGGACATCACAAATGGGCAGGGATGGCAATGGGTCGGGTCGGGGACGGATAGTGCATATTCGTTACCCTACCCAAAGTAGTTCGGGTTTTACTCATATTCATGCCCACATAAGAAATGGGTAGAAAATTCAAATCATGCTCATACCCGTTCGGATTTCGGGTATCCACGGTTATCCGTGGGTAATAGTTTTTCTTTATAAATCCAACCAATATGTTAATATTTACACATATTCTCACGTTACGTAAGACGAAAAGTACGACAATAATTCACTAGAATGAAGAAAATTAATTAAAACAACACAATTTCATAAAAAATTATATTTATATGCTAAATATAAAATATGTTAGAGAAAAATATTGATTATTTCTAGACAAAATACATATGCATGAGTATAATCGGGCGAGTTCGGGTTGGATAGTGAGAAAACCATGTCTGCCCATTACCCGCAATATTCGGGTTCGGATTTTACCCGTACTCCCTAAAAGTCTTTTGAGTTCGGGTTTTACGCTACCCTATTCGGTCAGATTCGGGAGGATATTCACGGTTACAGATATTTTTGTCATCCCTACAAATGGGAACCGTAGCTAGAAGATGATTTATATAGTGCGGGCAGAGGCACATGGATGCATGAATTGGGCTGGTTGGTTTCTTGTATATAGGACCTAGCAGACAAAACGGGCCTAACTGCGTGCCAAACCCTATGATAAGCACGTGACGGGCCTAATTGGGTGACAAACTGAAACGACTAGATTAGCACGATGCATGTTGAATTGATTGAGTTTACAAAAACAGATTTTTTTTTGGTTAAGGCGCATTTCCGGAGCCCACTGAATAAGTCTAGTCCAGCCCACTTAGATTAGTTGCTTGATGAGTCCATGGGCTGGAGCCCAAGACAAACTGTTAGTTTAAATGCTACCGCTGGGGGATGGACAACTGGAGGATGAGATAGCATGACTAACCTTAGGAAAAATGACACCTCTATTAATTATAGGTTTTTTAAGATAATTAATTTGTGTTGCATTTAATAATCTATCTGAATTAAAAACTCATATTAATTACTTTCCTTTTTTCACTGCAATGGTGGTTCTACCTGGGGAGCGGTTACAGTGATTACTAGTAATCACTGTGGTTACTAAGGGTAAATTGGGTATAGAAAAATATATTATATTAATTAATTTAAATAAATTACATTATAGATAGTTAAAAAAATCTATTAATTACAATTCTTTCTCTTTCTCTCACTTCTGTAATCTCCAGCCAGATCGTCTTTCCATATTTTTCTCAATCTTTCTGCAAAAGAAAAAAAAACGAAATCACTACCAATCCATTAGTCAACCACTACCATTTTGAAAAACATCAATACCATTGCAGTAATAAATCTATACCATTACACGAAACTACCAATATAAACAATCTATACCATTACAAAAGTCAAACAAATACCAAAACAACCAAGACCACTACTACTGTGGAATCAAAACAATACCATTGCATAAATAAATCAATACAAACACTACAAAACAAATACAGAGAAACTACCAAAGCATAATGCAAACACTACCAAACTAAATGCATATAATTACCAAAACATAATGCTCCATCTAACCAACACAAATGCAGGTAACTAGCAAAGCGTAATGCACACACTACAAAAGAAAATGCAGGTAACCACCAAAGCATAATGCAAACACTACCAAAGCATAATGCAAACATTACCAAAATAAAATGCAAGTTAGCTACCAAAGCAAATCCATAAATACCATTTCAGAAATCAATACCAAAATAAACCAATACAACTAATATTGTGAAATCAATAAATACCATTTCAGAAATCAATAAATACCATTACCTATATTGAAAGAGAATGGTGCCGGATGGACCCTAAACCAAGCTGACCCCTATGTGGATTTCATGAGGGAGAGGCGGCGCTCCATCTTAGACATGGTGGATTTCATGGAGGAAGAGGCGTGCGATGCATCTTAGACATAGTGCCAGGTGAAGGGAGTGGAAGTGGGTGAGAATTATAGTCGACGGCGACCTAATCCAACTTGATGTAGCAGTCCCGATAGAACTTTGAAGTCGCACTCGCAGGGGAGGATGTCAACGCCGCGCTCGTTGCGGAGGGAGGGAGGAGGGATCGCGGGGGAAGGGGACGGCGGTGGTAGGAAGCGGGGGCAGAGAGAGGGAGGAGGAGAGATGGTGGCTAGGAATATGGTTGTGCTAGGGTTTAGGTATAATATAGAGAGTAATTAGGTGTATTATTTTTTTCATTGCCAAAATTACTCTTAATCTAATCTTCACCGTCAATTTAAAAATAAGGTAAAATAAAGATAATTAAGAGTGTAGATATAGGTAGCCACCATGATTACTCAAAATTGAGTAATCACGCTAACCTATTCCGTTCTACTTGTGCAATGATATCAGTGTACAGGTGCAATGGTAGTTGTATCAGTGCAATGGTAGTTAAAAAAAATGTAATTAATATGATTTCAGTGTACAAGTGCAGTGATAGTTGTATAGTGCAATGGTAGTTCAAAAACGGAATGTAATTAAGATAAGTTTTTAATTCCCAAAGATTATTAAACGCAACACGAATTTAATACCATAATTAACTCTAATTAATAGGGAGTGTCATTTTTCCAACCCCATAGATGGGTTAGCAAACCAACCGATCCCGACAATTGGACATTCAGTGATAGTTGACTGTCTACGCAATAGTGTTTGTGAAACGTTAAACGTACCATAGTGGCGCCAGGCTGTTTGATCGAGATAGTCATTTATTGAAGACTAAACCGATCTATGGTTTTTAGTAGTATGAACAATTGAACAACGTTTTTCTTTTTTATCTACCAAATACAATTGTTAAACAACAGTTTCAGCCCAAAATATCATATCATTAAATTTTTTGTACAACATTTTTTGTATGAGTTTACAATCTTTTGAAATGCATGTCATGTCATGTGTAGTGTGGTTTTGTGAGTTGTGAGTTGTAATCCATACACACTCACTCCCCAAAAAGATGAGGTTCAGGCCTTGAGGGGACACAAGAAAATGAGCATAAACAATGTTTAGCTTACGGGTCTATTTTTGTGTGAGGGTTACGTGATTGAATCATGACAGATGACACTACTTTTGTTTCTTTTCCGGAGTACGGGAAGGGTAATTGGATTAATCACGTTAATTATGGTTTGTTATGGGTGGGTTGTGTGGGCACACATAAAAATAATCTCCTCACGATCCCGCACATGGATACGCATTCATCAGCATCATCATATCCAGATCGAGATCACTAATAAAGAAGAAGCATATGTATAATGTAGTGAGAGTGATTGCTGCACAGGCGGCCACCACGGAACCTAATAATGCTTAATTTGTTGGGACTGATGAATTAGTTGACTAATTAATGAAAGCGTTTAAGTGAGCTTTATGATTGATATTATCTAATCAAATCAAATAGGAAAGTTTGAATAAATAAATAAAAAGTCATAAGTATAATATACCCCTCTATTAGTGTACGCATGTGCTCATACTTATTAATTAATTAATAATTAAAAAGTAAATAATTCTAAATTATACCTACATTTATTAATTAATTATTTTGTACGCTTTGGTTCCCAAATAATTTTACCATCCATTTTGCTTTCATATAAATAATTTAAGTATCCATTAAACAAATTATAGGGGTCGTTTGGAAGTTGCGATTGTTAAATAGATGTATTGTTGAGAATGCATGTATAATATTATACATGTATTGTCGAATTTGATGCATTGTAGAATACAACGTTTGGTATGTGTGATTGTGTATGTCGCATCAGCTAAAAGGTTAGACAAAACAATCTCAACTCAACTATCTCAACAACCACAACTAAAAGTTGAGATATAACAATCACTCAAAATGAGTGATAGTTTCTGTCACATCATAGAAACAATCCATGTATTGTTTCTGCTAAAAACAAAAAAACGATGCATTGTAAACAATACATGCATAATGACAATCTCAACAAAAGAATCGCAACTTCCAAACGACTCCATAATCTCTTATTTCTCAAAATCAGAGTTTTAAACACCAAACTGTGTTGATCATGAAGAACCCCCAACTATATTTTTTTAATATATTCATCGGATTTGGTTCCGTTTCTTCTTCAACATAATCACCCAAACTGTAAACTATAAACCCTTCATTTCTTTCTAAAAAAAGCAACGCACTGTGCAAGAAGTTGAATCCTCCATTAATATATGGTAGAGTTTTGTGTACTTTTCTCCATTTCAAATTTCCTGCAACGAGAGTGAAAGTAGGAAGGTCATTTTTGTCTTTACACATTTATTATTTATTTCATATAAAAATAGCAGTATCAAGATTTGAACCCGGGTCTATTCAAACAAATATAACAATCACAACCAGTTACACTAAACAAATTTATTGCATCCTTTTTTATAAAAAAAATAAACAAAGTTAATCTCTGAAAATCAGAGGACTTTTTCATCATAATTAGCAAGCTCACTAAGTCTACCGTATGTATTTTTATCGAGCTTGATACTTCTATTTTCATAGTAGAGTTTCATGTAATTTTCTCAATTTTAAATTCCCGCTCTCTCCTTAATTTTTGCTAAAGGTAAATGGGTAATTGGCCAACATGGAAGAAACTAATTATGTAACTACTGTTGTATCCTCTCATTTTTCAATTTAAATTTTGTATTTTTTTTATCTTTGTTCTTTTCTCTTTCTAACTTCCTCCGAAATTTTATCCATCGTGCAATAGTTTGCGCCTTTCACTTCCCAGTACAAGACTGTTATTGAAAATCAATCTTCAGGTATCTCTTGGCACTATGGTTTTATTGTTGGGGATTTTAAGCTGGGCGAGTAGAAGATTTCAACTCCGATATCAATTCATGGCGAATAGAATGGAGTTCATCAATAACTGAAGTTGTAGAAGAAAGATTAGAAATTGAATTTTTGGTTGAATATATGCCTCTTGAGATAGAAATTTGGTTGTACAACGGAGAGTGGTGGCTATTGGATCTTTAGGTTTATGGTTTTTGCAACTGTCATAACCTATTTCTATCTTAAAACGAGGAATCATTGATTGATTGTTTGAATTCTTTATTCAACCTACTGGAACTAATAGATAAGGAGTGTCTAATTTTGCGCCTTATTATTTTGCTCGAGTCTATTCGTAAATTGGAGATAACCCTGATTTTTTTCGTTTGCTCTCAAGTTGTGATGGTCCCCTCTTAGCTGAGTTTTTAGTATATAGATGACTTGAATCAACAACTCTTCATTTCTTTTTGATTAGTGACATATTGTTTCTAAAAGGAGAACATTGAACCATTTATATAGGATTGTGAGGTTTAAGATTTAGTTTCAAACTATCTATGGGTTGTGTGAGAATTTCAGTGAGCTTTTATACTCTATATTTCTTGACTGTCAAAGAAAACTAACCAATAGCATTTTAACAGGGACTTAACTAGCATTATGAAAATGGGCTCAATGATGCATTTTTATATTTTATATTCTTAAATGATTATGATATTTCTCCGAATGTTCGACCTATATATTATTTCTTTATGTATCATCTCGATCGAATGATTATCAATAAGATTAAACGATAGACTTAAAAGTAACATAAAAATACAAATAATCAAATATGAGCATTCCGGCCAAAGGGCCGGGTTATAAGCTAGTGAAAAGAAAGACCAACTCCTTTCACCATCGACAAATTCTAGCCTACAAATCTTCTCAACAAAACCAAAATTAAATGGATACAAGTGGGATTGATCTTCATGCTCAATTAACACCATATTAGAGTCGCGTATACGGTTCTACAGTTCCTCAATGACATTCGCGGTTCGATCGATCTCGACGAATCTCTTCAATAGACGCCAATCCCCAGATTCTCTCTCTACGAGAACATCACTGGTACCCTCCCGTCATCAACCTTTGTGAAGCGCTATACCCGATTTTTTCAAATTTTCTTCAATTTTATACTTTGTACAATTGTACTTCATAAATGGAAGTTTCTTTTCTAGGGTTATGAACTTGTCCGTCAGTTGGGAAGAAGAAGATGGAAGTACACTCTTGCAATAGTCTTCACGATGACTTTTGGCCCACTTTGAATAAACTCGTTGCAATAGACTTAAGCCCAACCATCTCGAAGGAGAAAACGCCATCACTTACCCCATCTCGTCCGGCATCTCCGCCGGAGTGTTGGTTGGGGGCGGCGAATCCCACATCATTACTAGCATATATATATATATTGTATGGGCTGGCAGTGGCATGGCAAATGAGAAATGACAATGCGAAATCGTAATGGTGGTGGTGCTGCCACATGATTAGCTTAGGTCCCACATCACCTGCTGCGCTAGTTACCGTCTTACCGACATTATGATAAACAATTATATAATTATTTAATATTAATATATTGTAAAGTCCAAAGTAATTTATAGATCGGGCATCCATTCCGATTCCATCGCTATGTTTCTGCGCTGGCCAGCTTTTAATTTGTTCGCTTCGCTGGCGGAAACTCCTCGGACAAGAAAACGAAGCGTAATTGACACTATCAAACTTTGGCCAAGCTAGCTAAGCCCTAAGAGTAGGACTGGGCATGCGGACGGGTAACCCGCGGATTTGACCCAATCCATCCGTAAAATTATCCAAACCGCTGTATGTGGACGGGTTACAGTGGCGGAGACAGGATTCGAAACTACCCCTATCATTTTCAAAATATAAAAATAAAAAATAATTAATAATTAAAAAATTAATAATATTCAAATAATTTATTAATAGATAAACATTTAAACAATTAATACAATTATTGTTTGCATAAACAACCACGACGAGTTTTCATATTATGAAAGAATTACAAAATATATTAATTGTTTACACTCTTGAGTGAGCTTCTTTCGATATTCCCACTAAACAATCATTAACAAACTGATTATTAATTCGACTTCGAAACTTGTTCTTAATATATCAATCTAAAAAGGGACGAGATACGGTGACAACCCCTAAGTGGGTTGTCAGATTCACAACCCACTTCATAGCCCTTGGATACGTTCTCTCTCCTGTTTCTTTTTTCTTTTTTTTTAAATTAAGGGTTAAGATTAAAGGAAGGGTATTTTTGGAAGGGTAAAAATTTACCACACCCAATCATTCACCCTACCATATAAAAAGAAAAAAACTCTAACTCCTCCATCCTCCCTCTCTCCTCCCTCTCTCCCGTAGCCATCACTCTCTCTCCTCCCTCTCTAGCAGAGCCCTCCGCCGCCTGCGTCGGCGCCCCTCCGCCTTCAGCCGCCTGTCGAGCCTTCAACCGCCATCTCGTCTCCGCCATCTCCGACTATCCTCCTCCTCCGCCTGAACACCGCCGCCACCGACGCGATCCTCCTCCGCCGTCGTATCCAACCTCACCGGCAGTTCCTGTTTCCCTACTCGGCGGACGAGACGGGAGCGAAATCTTCTCCCCTCCGCCTTCAGCCGCCTTTCGGCGCCCCTCCGCCTCCCACCACCGCGGCACAATCATCCTCTCCCCGTCGGAGCCCTCTCGCCGCCCGTCGTCCCCCACCACTGCCGCCGTCGCGAGGTCACCCTCTTCCCCTACCTCTCTCTCCCGTCACCGACTCCCCTTTTCTAGATCTGGTTTTTTAGTGGTACCATTTTTTTCTGGTAGCGTACCAGTGATAGTGGTACCTACCACTACCATAAGGTAGCTGGTAGTGGTAGCGTACCACTATCATCTGATACCACTATCATCTGTTTTTTTTTTGGTGTTATTCTCTACTGGTATCGCTACCAATGCTAGTGGTAGCGCTACCAGTGTTAGTGGTACCTTTATTCTCTACTGGTACCGCTACCAATGGTAGTGGTAGCGTTGTACTGGTACATTTTTTAACGCATTGGTAGCGTACCACTAGCACTGGTATATTAATTACCAGTAGACTAATGGATTGGTACACTTTTTAACGCACTGGTACATTTTTTCAGGTTGCCGGAGGGAGTCTGTCGGAGAGAATTCGCCGGAGAAAAAGTCTGTCCGTCGATGCGGAGTGGCCGCTGGAGAAAAGAAGAGAGAGATAGATAGAGATATTAATGTATAGGATTTAAATTTCAAAAAAAATTGTATTTAATATGGGTTTTTAATTCCCAATATAATTAATACACAAAAGGTAATTAATATATTCCTTTTTTTCATACCCAAAATACTCTTGGTTGTGAATCTGACAACCCCCTTAGGGGTTGTCACCGTATCCCGTCCCATCTAAAAATGCTCTTTTACGTTCGGAGTTGCAACTGGTAGTATCAAAACTATTTTCATAAGCAAATAAACTAACCGATATAACATATGCACTTTTGTCTCCACCATGATCTGAGATCATTTATCAATTTCTTTCAATCTAACAAATCTCTCATCAGCCATAAAATAATTATAATACCCAACAATCTGTTGTCGAATAATAGTGTCATGAATGAAACCAATAAATTAATTATTTTTTGACAATTAATTAACAAGTAATGAATTATAGTGTAGTGCCAACATATCCTTAGTTCTTTATATTACTTGTAGGTGTTGAGTTTATTCTTCGTTCAAACATATATAGCATTATTTTTTCCCCTACCAAAATTTGTCCCTGTCCTGGGACAAGGACAAACTGCCCTCCCTCCGCCTATGGCGGGTTAGCAGGCAGGTTACGAATTGACTAATTTCAAACCCACAAGGGATGGATGTGCGGGTTACCTGCAAAAATCCGACTTCATCGCTCTTCTTTGTGATTCTTAGGCCAACATCCCGACTTCCCCTCCTCCTTTTATCTCAAGCAATACGTTCGAATACTTTCCCTATTCTTTGGTAATTTCCCCTACACCCCTGTCATTTGTAATAACAAAGAGGGGAAGTTCTCACTGTTGAGCTTTGAAACAAGAAATTGCAGCAGCGGCCTTATTGGATGCCAGTGCTTAAACGAAGCTCTCCCCCACTTGGTTGGTTGTGAAAGCAGACTTGCAGCTGATTATGGAGGCTAAGCAATGCTGCAGCTTCTTTCCAGTAGAGAGTTCCATATAATCCGTTCGATGATTGGACAGAGCTTGGGGAAGGCTAGGTGGTACAATTGGAATATTGCAACATAAAGAGTGGTTAAGTTACATGTAATTTGTATGTGTTAATTTCTAACATTGGTACATTTGCCTTCTGAAAATAGGTATATGTCCGAATACATTAATTTTTTGGGTAAGAAATGCAACTTCATTTCATTTGTGTTGATTTGTGGATTAACCCGACGATCCACCCGCATTATTTGTCATCCGCCCGATCCAATATGATATTAAGTGTGGGTGGGTGGCGGGTGAATTTTTTTGAATCCGTTGATGTGTGGGTGGATTAATTTTATGATCAAAACCCACCTGATCCGTCCGTTGCCCACCCCTACCTAAGAGAACATAATTAAGCAAGGCGCTATAGTTAGTAAAATACGGTACGAGAAAGTTACGTATAAAATACGTACGAGTATTTTATTTCATTTCTAAGCTAATGTTATGTTTAATAATACGTTAATAGTCATAAATATATAAAATAATTATTTTTAAAAATAAATATATAAAAATAGTAAAGTTTATAATTTAATTCTTTAAATACGGATATTAAATGTGTTATACGGGTTTTAAATGTGGTTAGTATGAGAGCCGTCAAATGAACGAAAATAAATGAAATGACTTGACAATAATACAGATACAGAAGTTTTAAACGGATAAAGTACGTACATGTACATATACGTGTATTAAACGAAATATTTACTAACTATGCAAGGCAGACACCTTCTGTAAATATGAAAATAGTAATCACAGTTAGAATTAATCACGCAACTAACAAGATAGGAAATGTACGTGGGCACCGGGCCATATTGCCGCCCACGTGCTAGCACGACACGGTTAGAGCACGACACGAGCACGAACAAGAAATAAATGGGCCAGCCAGCACGAGCACGAATAATTTACGAGTCGTGTCAGGCCTAACTTCATGGGAACGGGCACAACACAGTATATAAGTGGGCTGTGTCAGACCTAATATTTTCAAGACTTTATTGAGTATAAGAACGGACATGGCATAGAAATAATATTTATTTGATAGAAAATAAATATAAAAAAGAATTATAGGTTCAAATATTACAAAACACAAGTAGAAAAATAATTATTTGTTGTTGTTAGAAGTGTCATAAAGATATATACGTAATTACTAACATAAGTAAAAATGGACAAAGAATTAAACAAAGTCAAATCACACTCGCTATACTTCCAATTTTTACCTTCTTTTTCATTCTCTCTTTTGTTTTCGCCCTTTTGATTAAACACGAATACGAGTATGGCACGAGCACGAATAGGCACGGGACGATTCGAACCGTACCCGGGCCTGGGCCGGGCCTAGCAAAGTTAACAAATGGGATTGCATGGCACAACACGAAAACTGACGACCCGTGCCAAGCACGGCACGAAATAAATGGGCCCGAAGCGTGCCATGCCGGCCCAAGCACGGCCCAGCGCCCATGTACAATAGGAACCTGTTAGAAAAAAGACAATTAAAAATTGACACTCTTTATGATTTTTTTTCTTTTTCGGTAATTCACTCCTTATGACTTTGATACAATTAAACTTCTATAATTTTCATTTCAATAGCGAATGGACATTACACAATTAGGAAATATGATGAGTATTTGATAGTATAAATATGAAATAACTCTTTGACATGTGAAAGTCCCGGAAAAGATTGCGTACCAGAGTTTATCCTAGAAAAGTCAGTGCTAGAGTATTTTGATAAGAAACTATTGTTTAATCGTAATTTGACCATTTCGTAGCACTAAAAATGCCTATCAGTTTTGGATTTATAGGGCAGTTTTTCTGACCGAAGTGCATGTAGGGTTCGATTTTGTAAACACACTAAAGCGAATACAAATTTTTTTTATCCACGATAATCCACTAACACCTATCACCCACCCACGATAATTTGTATTATTTACAGGTGAGCTGATTTCAAAACGCAGATTAATCATTCACATGCCGTTATTAATAATTAATTGATTAATTAATTGGTGTACAGTGTACGCGTTCACACGAGCCACCATAAACCGGAGAGAGAAGGGTGATGGTGGGTAGGGCTGTCCATTTGGTTTTCGTTTTTTGGTTTTAACCGAAACCAAACCAATTGGGAAGCTAATGGTTTCAGTTTTTTGGTTTAAACCAATAAGCAAACTTAATGGTTCTGGTTTGGTTAAAACCGAAAACCAATAGAAACCATTAAGAAACCAATAAGAATAAAATTATTTATCAACAATTTTTTTCTTCTTTTGACATGCATGCCAACCAGTAATTTGTAATGACGATTTACCATTATTATGACGTTAATTCAATAAAAAGGAGGGAAATGAAAATAAATATGAGTGTATGAGTACATGTTGGTTTTTTGGTTATCCAAACCAAAACCAAAACCATTAAAGCGCTTATTGGTTTTTGGCAACCGAAATCCAATAAGAGCCTTAATGGTTTAGATTTTGATTTTTGGGATTTGATTTTTGATTTTGCATACTTAATGAATAATGGTTTAGTTAACCAAACCAAACGACCAAACCAAATTGACAGCACTAGTAGGGATGGCAATAAAACCCGGACCCGCGGGTACCCGCCCGACCCGACCCGGTCAAACTGGGTAAAATCTGTGTTGACTGGGTTCGGGTCGGGTTCGGGTTAAAACCCGGTGGCTGGCTGGGCGGGTTGGGTCGGGTTCGGGTTTGGGGGAACCCGACCCGTGGATACCCGGATATAGGTAAAACCCTAATATCTCTAATGTGGCCGCCACCAAACCCCAAATTTTGTCATTGAGTCAGTCGACCTCCTGTCCTCCTCCAACCCCAAATTTTGGCCGCCACCAAACCTCCCAGCAGAGAGCAGCACGCCGCCACCAAACCTCTCCCTCTCTGAAATCAATTCTCGCCGCCAAACCTGTGTCCTCCTCCCGTCTCCATTCCCGTCGCCGCCGAATCTGGATCCCGTCTCCATTTCAGTCGCCGGCCGCCCTCCCCCTGCTACTCCTCTGCTCTGAGCCTCCAAGTCCCCACCTCCCCGCCGACGGCCGACGTTCGAATCCATACCGCGCCGCCCTCCCCCTGCTACTCTGCTCCGCGCCTCCACATCGCCGCCTCCCGCCGACTCCAGTCCTGCCGCCCTTCAGTCCCGCTGCCCTCCTCCTTCTCCTCTGCTCTGCGCGTAGTCTCACATCCCGCCAACGCCGACGGTCCACACCCGCCGCCCACCTCCTGGTTCCTCTGCTCCGACCCTTCCCCTGGTGGGTGTAAGTGATATTGATGGTGGTCGGTGGATTGAGTTGTTGATTGAGTTGTTGATTGTTGTTTTGGACTAAATCTCTTGCATTTTTCATTCAGATGGTGGTAGGATTTCCTACAGACATTTTATTGCTAGCTTTGTCTTGCTAGTGAAGGAATCCATTGAAATCAATCACCTTGGATCTCATCCTGACCCAAGAAAGCTATCTATAGTTTCCTAATGGGTATCAATGTTTGACTAGCGTGTTATTGTTTTGAGTTATGATAATAATAAAAAAAGCCATGTCTTGATTTGATTTCGTGGAGAAGATTTTAGAGGGATCTTTTGTTTGGAATCTGTTGGTTCAAGTGATGGATGAAAAGAGTATCAGAGGCGGAGGGTTTATATATAGGCAGTGAAACTTTTTAAGTATGGTCGAGAAAAAGTTGGCTCGTGTGTGATTACTGATTAGTAGTTCACCCTCCTTGTCCATAGAATTGGTAGGGTTGGTTATGGAAAAGTCTTAAACTAGAAAGAGTAATTGTTTGACTATGAATTGGTAGGGTTGGTTATTGAATTGGTAGGGTTTCATTTAGTTAGGTTGCTTGTTTGACGTTCATATCTTGAACTTGGAATTAAGTTAAATGAAAGAGTAATTGTTTGACTATGAATTGGTAGGGTTGGTTATAGAATTGGTAGGGTTTGATTTAGTTAGGTTGCTTGTTTGACGTTCATATCTTGAACTTGGAATTAAGTTGAATAGAAAGAGTAATTGTTTCACTATGATATTTGTTTGTGTGTAGTGCTTGAAATGGCTTCAAATGCCTCAGAAGCTGGAAGTCCAATTGTTAGTGGAGGTGATGAGACCATTGGTACTACTTCTACACCTACTGTGGGATCCCAGTCTGAGCTTCCCAATCCCACTAATGATAGTGGTAATGGTGCTGCTGCAGCACCTACTGGTGTAATGGAGAGTGAACGACCAGCACGTTCTAATGATATTGATATTCTTGATTCAAGTGGGCTTAAGAGTGATGTTTGGCCGCATTTCAAGAGGATTTTGAAAGATGGGGTTGTCAGAGCCGAATGCATACGATGTAAGAAACTCTTATCTGCTTCTACTAATAACGGGACCAGTCATTTGCGCCAGCATATTCTACATACATGTCCGAGGAAAAAATGCAAAGACCTTAAACAAATGCTTTTGACAAAGAATTTGAAAGGAGATGTCAGCAAAGCAGGTGGCAACATATTTGATGAGGAAGAAGGGAGGCGTGCTTTAGCTTCTATGATTATTTTACATGAGTACCCTCTCTCTATTGTTGAGCATATCGGTTTTAGGAGATTTCTCTACATCATTCAACCTTTATTCAAGTGCCCTTGCCGAAATACAGTGAAGAGTGACATTTTCAAAGTCTTTGAGGTTGAGAAGAAGATGCTTATGAGTATGATAGAGGAGAATTCGAGTAGGATAGCGATTACTAGCGATATGTGGACTGCTACTAATCAAAAGAAGGGATTTATGGTGGTAACTGCCCATTTCATTGATGCTTCTTGGACAATGCGGAGCTACATTCTTAGGTATTTAATCCTATTCAATCATTGTTTATTTATTTGTGATTTTTGGGCTGTTTTGTGTGATTAATGAGCTATTTTATGTGATTTTTGTGTGCTGGCAGCACCTATTTTTGCTCTTTTCTTGCTTCTTTTTTGTGTTTGTAGCATCTAACCTTTTGTTTGTTGATATGTTTTGGTTGTAGGTACGTATATGTACCTTGCCCGCATACTAGTGAAGCACTTGCTCAGGTTCTTATCGAAACTCTGTATGAATGGAATGTTGATACCAAGTTGTCTGCAATTACTCTAGATAATTGTAGTACGAATGATGCATTGGTTGACTTGGTGAAGTATAAGTTGAATTCTGAGCATTTGATGTGGTCTGGTGCTAAAATTCATATGCGTTGTTGTGCTCATATTCTTAACTTGATTGTCAAGGATGGATTGGATGTGATAAAGAAGAGTGTAGAGCGCATTCGTGATAGTGTGCAGTTTTGGACAGCTACTCCTAAAAGGAAAGAGAAGTTTGAAATAGCTGCAAAACAATTGAAAATTTCTTATGGAAAAAGTTTGTCATTGGATTGCCCAACTAGGTGGAACTCTACCTTTTTGATGCTTCATTCTGCTTTGAAGTATAAGATTGTCTTTCCTCGCTTGAAGCAAATGGAGAAGGATTATAAGAATTTACCTAGTGAGTCTGATTGGGAGTTCGCAAGGAAGGTTTGTGACAAGTTGGAGTTGTTTTATGATGTGACTGAGCTGTTTTCAGGGGCTAAATATCCAACCTCCAATTTGTTCTTTGAAAAGGTGTGTGACATAAAGGTGGGCATCTCTAATTGGATGTTGGATGATGATGTTTTCATTAGTGATATGGCCAAAAGCATGATGACAAAATTTGAGAAGTATTGGAGTACTATTCATGATGTTTTAGCTATTGCTGCTGTATTTGATCCAAGGTATAAGTTTACCTTGTTGGAGTGCTACTTTCCAGATATCTATGGTGATGAATCAAGGGCATGTATTGAGAGTGTTCGACAATTGTTGGTTGAATTGGAGAAGGATTATAAGAAGTCAAATGTGGATGGGAATCAAGATGGCAATTCGTCTCATGATGTGAGTTCGATTAGTCAAGGTGGAGGAAGAATGACAGCATATGATAGGTATGTAGCATCGTTGACTACTAGGAGTGTAGATGTTGAAACTGAGTTGGATGGCTACCTCAAGGAGAAAGTCTTGCCCAAGACGGCTGGATTTGACATTTTATTGTGGTGGAAGGCAAATGAGACAAAGTATCCGACTTTAGCATTGATTGCTAGAGACATACTTGCAATTCCAGCGACTACTGTGGCTTCTGAGTCTGCTTTTAGTGCTGGTGGAAGACTAGTTAGTCCTAGCCGCAGCAGACTTCTCCCGGAAACTGTTGAGGTTCTTATGTGTGCTCAAAATTGGTTGCTCAATTCAACCGTTACAGGTAGTTTGAGAACCTTTGATTGTTTGATTTCACATATGAACTTTAATACATATTGTGAGTTATCATTGGTGGTTACCATTATTTGCTAACTTGCTATTTCATTTGCAGATGGCTTGGAAACAATTGATAAGCTCATGACTTATGCCACTGTTAATGATGATCTAGATCCAGATTGTGCTCCATGTGTTACCGGTATATATACTATTTTAAGCAATATATCTTCTTTAAGAAATTCATCTTCCTTTTGTTGAGACATGTCTAATTTTGGTCTACCTAATTGTGTAGAATGAAGTTCATATTGTGACGCGGAAAGTGAAGCGAAGATGATAATGTTCTAGTTCTCAAGGAGGAAGAAACTTCAATTAATTTGGTTGTTTATGGATAATTTTTGACTTTCTTGAATTTTTTAGATTGATGTTGAACAATTTGTATGGATAGTGTGTGATTTGTTTGAATTTTCTAGAATGGTATGTTTAAGTATGGATAGTTTGTGTTACGAGATTGATGCTTAATTTTCTAGAATGGTATGTTAATTGTTATTTTAAAATTTTTATAAAAAAAACCCACGGGTACCCACGAACCCGCGGATACCCAGCGGGTTGGGTTGGGTTTGAGTTTTTCAAACCCAGCAGGTTTTACCCCGGGTTTTTTTGCCGGATAAACCCAGCGGGTTGGGTTTGGGTTTGACAAAACCCGCCCCAACCCGACCCATTGCCATCCCTAAGCACTGGTGGTGGGCGGTGGGGCTGAGGTTGGTATAAAAAAGTAACTCCCTCCTGCTGCAGCGGTTGAGATACATAAATTCAACCAACGATTATCACAACCATCCATTCCTCTCTCTCTCTCCTCGCCGGCGTCGATCTTCGATCATCATGAGAACCGGCACGGCTAACTTCATCGACATCCTGCTGGCCATCCTCTTGCCTCCCCTCGGCGTCTTCCTCAAGTTTGGCTGTCAGGTATCTTATTATGCATCTATACGCGCGCAGCTGTCAATAATAATTAATTATCAGTAGTGCCTTAAATATGCGATGGGTGGGCAGGTGGAGTTCTGGATCTGTTTGGTGCTCACTCTCTTCGGCTACATCCCGGGGATCATCTATGCCATCTACGCCATCACCAAATGATGAGCAGGATCCTCTTCTCCCTCTCCGGCCGCTCTTCAGGCCGGTACCTACTTTATTCAATTTCTTCTCTTTTGTCTTAGATCGATCCGTCTGAGTATGTGCGCCGGCCGGCCCTATTCCTCAATCGGACGGCTACAGCTACATTACCAATACCACCCACACTAATTCGATAGTGTTGATTAGGTTTCTGGTTAATTAGATGTATATTTGGTATATATCACAATTAAACAAACTAATGAAGCATAGAAATGGAAAGCACACAGCACCTACCAATACCATGATGAATACATGATCTTTCTCCATCTCGCTAGTAAATTGACTGACGGACTCCACACATTTGTTTTGTGTTGCAATGGACAGGTGGTGGAGTCCGGCTGATGATGCGTGCCTTTGTGGGTTGTGACTTGTGAAGGTTTATATTAATGTAACACCCGTGACAGTCTGTTGCTCGTTCTTCACTTAATGTGGTTGTGGGTTTCTACCTTTCCAGCGTTGTTCTAGTGTTGTACACATTCCACATTTATTTCCTTTCTTCATCCCTTGTAATTTAATTACGACATTGATTTATCAGATTTTGGGCATCTCTTTTCCAATTTGTACTGCGATTCAGCTAATTATAGGGAGGGGTTACGGTGATTACTACCATGGTTATTAAGGATAAATTGGGTATGGAAAAATGAATTGTATTAATTAATTTTTTAATAAATTACATTTTGGGCAGTTACAAAAATCTATTAATTATAATTATTTCTCTTTCTCTCACTTCCGTAATCTCCAGCCAGATCTCATGTCCTTATTTTTCTCAATCATTTTGCAAAAAAAAAAAAAAAATCACTATCAATCCATTAGGCAATCACTACCACTTCAAAAACACAAATACCATTATAACAAAAAAAAAAAAAAAAAATCAAGAAATCAATACCAATCCATTAGACAACGACTACCACTTCGAAAACACTACCATTGCACAAAACACCAATATCATTCGAGAAATAAAAACACTATCATTTCACAAAACACCAATACCATTGCAGATTTAATCAAAACCAATATATGCAAATTAATATCATTACATGATAATCAATACCAATCCATTAGACAACCACTACCATTTTGAAAAACACCAATACAAAAATAACAGATATAAAAATCAGCCAAGAATTTCTGGCTCGTCCTCGCAGTCGTACAAGTTGTAAATATTGCGACAGGTTCTCGCCGTAAACTGGAAAGAGAGATAAGAGGAGAGGTGGGTTGGGGTGGTGAGTGAAGTAGATGAGGGAGTGAGCGGCGGCAGGGTGGTTGGGGGTAGAGAGAGAGAGAGAGAGAGAGAGAGAGAGAGAGAGAGAGAGAGAGATGGGATGGAATGGAATGAAATAGGGTGGGTGGAGGGACGGAGGGAGGGAGATGGGATGAGGTGGGTGGATGAATGGAGGGAGGGATGGATGGCAGACGTGGGTGGGTGGTCGGAGAGGGAGGCAAGCAGACAGTGGTGGCTGCCATTTTGGAGTCCTGCTGAAGGGAGAGAGAGAGAGTAGACAGTTAGATTGTTAGAGGTGGGTCAATTATTTAGGGTTTGAGGATAATATATGGAAATTCAAATTTTAGGAATAGTAATCCAGTCTGGTTATTTTTTTTCCAACATTGTCCCTAATAAATCGTGATTGTCAATTTAAAATGTTAAAAATAAAGAGTGGAGATGTAGGTAGCCACGCTGATTTCTAAAAAAATAGTAACCATTCTAACTCATCTCGCCAATTATACACATTGACATCACTTTCTCTTTGTACTTTCACTTGTTTAGCATTATTTTTTGAGTTATTTTATATATGGTAGATTTTTTTCTTGTTTGGGTGTGTTTCATATTCTAGCGGGTGAATTGACAACAGATCGAAATTCGCACAAAAGGGAATCAATAGGGGACTGAATGGTGAAAACAATCAAAGATCACAATTCAAGGAATGTTTTCACAGTATCAGGGTGTGAAGATTTTACCAAAACCGTGAACATCACCGATTCTCAAGAAGACTAGGACAGCTCGCTGGAAGGTATAGACTTCATGGTCCCAAAGCGTGAAGATTTCGACCATACCGTGAAGTGCGTTAGAGAAACGGTGCACATTCGGTCGATATCACGATTTTGTTGCATAGTTCACGGTCGTGACGGGAAACCGTGAACTCTGCACTCCTAACTATAAAAAAGGAGAGAAATAAGATTTGAAGAGGGAGTTGGTTTAGGAGAGAGAAATTTGAGCTCTTCTTCCACTCCTAAAGTGACGAGCAAGGAGAGTTTGGAGGAGAATTGGAGCTTCTCATCACCCTAGGAGGCTCGATTTCGTTTTCAAGAACACCACAAGTAGCCAAGGAGCAAGATTTTCTCATCAGGATGATTGTCTTCTCCATCTTGGTTATTTTTCTCACCTAGCCATATAGTAGCATCTCCGGTAGTGCAATTGAGCGGGATAGGATAACTCTTGAATATAATAGAAAGTCCTATCTATATAAGAGATCCCCCACAGTGTATGCGAAGTGTGATCCGTGCTAGGGTGCCATAACTTCAATTTGACACAGACTAGGGGGAAACACACCCGAGTGATAACTTCAATTTGACACAGACTAGGGGGAAACACACTCGAGTGAATTTTTATCAATTGAATTCAATCTCAATTTACTTTCGTGTTTGTTGAGTTATTGTACTTAAAACAACAATTAGGCATGGTCCATGAAACCGTACCGGAGACCGTACCGGAAAAGTTAGTTGTAGGGTATTTTATGGTAAAACCGTGATTTTATCGTAGTTCAACCGTTGTACCGTTAAATACCGCCTACCGGTTTACCTCCGATACTGGTATTTCGTGGTTGAACCGCTGGTACGGTACGATTTCATGGACCATGCAATTAGGTTGCCAAATAGCACGTAGTTCATTGAAGTAAAAATATATAGACCGTCTGGTTTATATTTCAAAATATTTACTCTATACTATACCCGACAACATTCACCCAATTGGTTTAACAAGTTTTATTTTTATCATTTATAATAAATGGTGAATTTATAAAATGTGAGATATTTGAAACTTTTCGGACAAGGACCACCCCATGCGCCCAACCGGCCAGCTCGAAGATCCCCTACACGAGGCGTAATTGACGCGATCAACTTTAGCCAAGCTAGCTAAGCGGACATAATTAAGTAAGAGGAAGCAATTCCTTAATTGCTAAGTTGTTAATCTTAAGCACACAAAAAAATGAAATGGATTGCTAAGTGACTCATTAGGTCATCTATATTAGGAAATCATATAAAATTACATATTGAGATGACACCGTTACATAATCTCATTTATGTAAAAAAAAAAAAATCGTATTGACAACAGTTTACATTTAAAAATACAATTATAGGTTGCAAATTACATTACGCTAATATTATTTATCCATTTTTTATTCCAGAGTGTATAAAAATTGGTTGGGACTAATATCTATAATTGTATGTGATTTTTTTAAAAATAATTAAATACATATAATTCTTAATTTTTTTTATCAATAGGTGAGTTCTTTATTCATCAAAAAGAGGTGTTAGCAACAACCTTGCTAACTAGGCTTCTCCAACAAAAATGGTGGGTACAAGCCGACTATACTACTACAAAGCCTCTGAGACAAACCCTACAACAATTTTGGGATATTATGACAACGACATTCGTCACCACAGATCCAGATTTTGTCATAATAGATTTATTATGACCAAATTATTTGTCATACCGTTGGTCAAAATTACCTCGTCGAAATAGCTCTATTATGATAAAACATAGGCTTCTTGTCACAACATGTTCCAGTGGCACGCCGTGCACATTTTGTTATAACAGGCATCTTGTTATGACAAAATGTTTTCTCAAAATACAGAAATGCTTCGTCACAATACGTTCTTAATTTTTGTCACGATAGTTACCACTTTTGCTCCGTTGTTGTGACAAATGTATAGTTTGTCATAGCAAACCTATTTTGACAAAGCCATGTGATTGTCATAATATTCAAACTCAGACTCCACCTGACATTTGTCCGGATGAAACTTGTTTGTCATAACCTGATGCATATATGACAACCTGTGGGCATTATTATGACAACCTATTTTCCAACTCTGATGCTATTCATACCATAAAGAAAATGGTACATCATTCAAATGTATCAAAAGCTAAATCATTCATTACCGAAATAAAAAACTACATCATTCATAGTTACAATCTGTTCCAAAAACCTACTGATCCGTTCATCTAGACACCAAAAAAAGTCTTCCAAAGCGACATATGTTCGCCTTTCAAAAGAGAGTACTAAATAACAAAAGCTAACAACCTTCCAAAGGTACTAATACTCATGATGTGGTCCTTGAGCATCCAAAATGCATACCTACTGCCATATACCTAGGTACCTGCGTAATACAGCGATCAAAGTTTGAGTAAAACTTATGAAATAAAATGCAATCGAGTAGTAACACCGATGATAGTATAAGTACAACTTATGAAACTAGAATTTTACCTTCAGCTAAACTTTTCTTCCATCAATTTTTGCAGCTAGTAACTCGACATATTTAGTTAGGGTCTCCTGTGATGTTTGCAACCCTTTGATAATACCGTTCTGACTGTATATTTCCTGTTGTTGGTTTTTTATCTACTCCTGTTGTGCATGAATCTGGTCCTCAAATTCTTTCCTCTGCCTCTCCCCCACAACAAGTGTCTCCTCCAGTCGTGCCTCCAATTCTCTCTCTTTGGGAACTCGAGCTGACTTTTCTGGTATAGTTGGGTGCTTTTTCCAGCACCATAAGAACAATCTCAGCACTGGATAATATTTTCCCTTCTTCCACTAATTCAGCATGGATTCTTTTCATTTCCTCCTATGAACACAACAGTGGAGTCAGAGTACTTGCTAGGTCCGCTAACATCCAAGTAGTAGGTAGGTTTGCTAACAACCAAGTTCATTCACTTAATTGACTAACTTAGCTACAATCAGACCCTATGTCACACATCCAAGTACTAGAACCAACCCCTAATTAAAGAAAGGAAGAAACACAACCGGTTGTGTTCACTTACATAATTTTTTTGAGGTTGCTCATTGACCCAAGTCCCATTTTTTCTCTTATGTGTATCAACATAAACTCTGATGTCCTTGGGCTCTACCTCTGCTTCATCGGATTCATTATTATCATTGTTTTCCATATCAGGCTTATTGCTTGCTTCATCGGTTGTTTCCTATTAACAGTCCAGCTTGTAGAATGTTAGTAAGGTGCATTATGGTATTGGAAGTAGAATGGAGGAGTAACCTTACCATTTCATACATTCGTTGGCTGCATGATTTGCCACCTATAGTATGAGCAAAAATCTGCATGCTTTTATTGCGCTTATTAGCAGCACTTTGCCTCTTCATCAGCGTATAAGACAACATTCATTAGCACCTTATCCATATCTAACCTACGATAACAGAACTGACTAATTAAATGCTTATCAGACTCAATCTATTCTTCATGGCAGATGGCTTACCTTGAACCTATCAGACTCAAAATGCTCACACAACTTTATCCACTCCTCCATCTTCACATTTTTAGGAGGGGTCTGTCTAGCATCGGCTCCTAACGCCAGATAATGCTTATGACAATGATACTTGAAGTTAATGAACCTCTTAGACAGTGAATAGTCCACAGCCAACCTCATAGCTTCATTATTCATTGAGATATCAAACTCACTCTGTAGTCGTGAAAGTATGTTAGTGTGTGAAAAGTGAAAGATACTGACCAGCAAGCATGCAAATACAAGTATATGATTTGTTTTACCTCTAATTTGGCAAAAAGTGGTTCCTTTAGCTCCTCGGTCACATATGACCAATAGAACATACCAATGGGAGCCATGAGTTTACATATAACTCATATCTCCATCTTAAAGATCCTCTCATTACGACCAACAACTTTTTTTGCTCCTCTAGCAACTACCAGCCCCAAAATCTTACCGTCATCTCGTGTCATCTTAGCTACCTCCAGCCCTTTAGCCTTTCCACATTTTTTCTTATGTGGTGGACCTAGTTATGTAGTTATCAATACCAGGTTACACAAGTACAATCCTTTGTAAACAAATCAGATTACATACAGAGACCAAAGTCATGGAGAAAACTTACTTGGCGGATTGGGAGCAGAGGGGGCAGTCTCAGTACTGTTTGTTTCCTCACCACGCATCCCATTGCTTTTTTCCTTAGAATTCATCATATTCACCTCAAGGTTCGAATTTGAGCTGACAATGCACCATCTGCTGGTGTGGTAAAGTGCAACCGGGTTGTACTTCTGGTTGTTCTACTTGTTGCTGCTGAGCGTCTTGCATCTGCCTTCTTCCTTAGTTGACCACCACCACTTAGACTAGGAGCCATACCTGAAATAAGATTTTGATGAACAATACTTCACTCAGACAACACTACGATTCCTAACTAGAACAACAAGAAGAAACCATCAATAAAGAAAACAAAAGAATTTGTTCAAACACCATAAGAAATTGTTCTGTAAATATTTAATTATTTGAATCATGTATATCTCATTATGTACTTGTATGACAAGTAATTGTTCGAACACCAAAAGAAACCATCAATAGAGAAATGTGACTTATATATTTCAAAACTGGACTTAGTATCATCTTCCATGTCATCCTCTGCCTCCTTCCCTTCCTCGTCCTCGTCCTCCTCCTCTTTCATGTCATCCTCTGCCTCATTCCCCTCATCATCCTCGTCTTCCTTCTCGTCTTCCTCCACCATCTCCTCTTCAGAATCTCCACTTACATCCAAGTCCACTGCTGGTGGGATTAGATTGTCTCTTTGGAGCAAGTTTTCCATATGTAAAATCTGGTCTTGGCTTAAAGTAATTGGGGCCTCATCAGGCAAACTTAAAAGTTGGATGTCTCTATCATCTGATTCAACTGGAGCTATGTCGATACCTTCATCTAGTTGGAATGGATCATCATCATATACCGGATCTGTGCTATCATCTGATTCCATCTCAGGAACATCATACACATGCCTATGATACACCTTTTGAACTAAACGCCAATTCCCACCATTTTTCATATCTTCAATGTAAAATACCCGATTGGCCTGAATAGCTAATATATATGGATCATGTTGATACCACTTTCATTCTATATTGACACTAGTCAGAAAGCGATCTGACCTTATGCCATTTCTATTATCTCCTACATCTCACCAATCACATTTGAAGACAAAGACATGGCTGCCATAGTAATACTGCAGCTTTAAAAATATCCACCAGCAAACCATAAAAGTCAATACTCACGCCATTATGTTCTCCTTCGAACACAACCCCACTACTTTGATTATGACATGTTTTATCAGTTTCATAAGTTTGATACCAAACCCCATTAATGAAGATACCACTATATCTAGTCAGTCTCACATCTGGACCAAGACCTAGACTATAAAGAGGATCATTTTTTCCAAGTTCTCCAACCAAGAACAGTCTCGTGACCTATACCATAACACAAACCAGCACGCAAGTTAATATTAGGAGTTTACAAAGTATACAGAAACATCAGGAATCTATCTCCTATAAAGATGGAAGCAGATCTTACATATGATTTCAACCATTTTAGAAAGTTTTCTTCAATGGTTTGAAAAATAATATTAGGAGTTTTGGCCCTGCTCTCCTATGAAAATATATTGCACCAAGTTGCAAAGTTAGAATTTATTTGTTTTGTCTTATAATTAAACATGTACTTTAAGATTGCTTTTTCCACTTACTTGAAATACTTTTCAACCTCTTCACAGTTTCTCAAATGTATCTTTCAATCTTATTGAAGTCATATGGGGCTAGAGTCACATAAGTTGCCCCTCCTAATGGTTTAGTCTTGTGTGTGCAAAAATAGAAAAACAAGTAGAATCCATTACTTGACACCCTTCATCGTTTCTCTCCAGACGGGTTGTTCGTGTCTCAACCCCTTGTAGGTATCTACCGCAAAAATCAGAACATTCCTTTGCTATATATTTTTTAGCATGGACCCCTCGGGACGAGCTCTATTTCTGACAAGATTTTTCAGAGAGCCTAAAAACCTATAAATATGCCAAGACAGAAAACATAAAACTTTTTCATCTGTATCCGTTCAAATAACAACTGAATCAAAAGAGAACTAATTAGTACTAATTAAGTACATTTCCATGAGATACATCCACCTATACTGAACCGGCCCACCAAGCTCGAGTTCACGGGGTAGATGAATGGCTAGATGCATCATGACGACAAAGAAAGATGGTGGATATACCATCTCAAGCTTACAAAGTATGAGAACTATGTTCGTTTGCATCTTTTCCAGTGTAGATTTTGTTATGGTTTTAGCACACAAATCTTGAAAAAATAGACTTAAATCGGACAAAATTACATAGACCTCTTTCTTCAACAACCCTTGTGCCACAGCTGGTAAGAGTCGTTGTAAGAAGACATGATGGTCGTGGCTCTTCATCGAGAAACAGATTTCCTATCACTGGTGACACATCGAGAGATATTGGATGCATAAGCATCCGAAAACTTAACGGTTTGTAGCCAGTTACACAACTGAATTTGGTTGGCAGCGGTTAAGGAGTAACAGGCATGCGGTAAAGATGGTTTGACGCCATCGCTATTAACCCAAAGCTCCTTTCTAATACCCAATCTCTCTAAATCCAATATGGCATTCAGGCTATCTTTTGTTTTCCCTTCGATATGCATCAATGTTCCCAAAACATTCTCACTAATGTTCTTCTCTACATGCATAACATCTAAGTTATGCCTCAACTAATGTAATTGAAAAGTTTGTTGAGAATATGCATCATAAGTTGTCACCCCATCCGTCCATAATTCTTGTAAAGCTTCTATTACTGGTTCATAGTACACATGAATGTTATCGCCTGGAGATTTCTTTTCAGGTATAACAGAAAAGACTCCTTCATACATAACCATGGAGGTAAATTTTAAGGGGTTAACACAACCGGCCACATGCTGTAACTAGAACTGAAGTTCCCAAATGGACTAAAACCATCACTAAGAAGTGCAAACCACACATTTCTAGGATCGACAGCTAACCAACTATGGTCCCTATGAAAAAAATTCCATGTTTCTGCATCTGCTGGATTCCTAAGCACATCGTCATTAATTCATTTTTCTTTGTGCCACCTCATGTCCTTGGCAATGTCCTTTGTCATGAACAGCCTTAGTAGTCTATCACTTTATCCTTTATAGGGAAATACCTAGTTGTTTTAATGGGAATATCCTTCCCTTTGCCTGACTTATACCTAGATTTCTTACACAAGGGACACGTCTTTTCATTCTGGAGAGGACCTCGGAATAAGACACAGTTGTTAGGACATGCATCTATAATGGTATAACCAAACCCGAGGTCATGAATGTACCTCTTCACCTCATAATACGAATCAGGGAGATTCTCTACATTTGGTAAAGCTTCCTTGATTAGATCCAAATTGAGGTTAAATGATTCGTCGCTACTATGGGTTAACATTTTGTTATTCATCATTTTCATATTGAAGGATAACTTTGAAAATTTCTTACACCCAGGATAAATAGGACAGTTAGCATCGTTAGTAGTTTAGCTAAGGTTGGATTCAGATTCACTCCTGACTCCCCCAAAACCCTAATTCATAGATTCATAACATGATGTACCAAACATAGCAACATTAGCTCGACTCAAATCATTCAACATGGAAGGCATTTCAATGTCAAAACCATGCATATCATTCTGACCAGTGTCCTCTAAATTATCAGTTGCCCCGCTACCACCAATATCAGAGTCCTCTCCATGATATATCCACAAACTGTAATCCTCTACCATCCCATTGAGGAACAAGTCAGCTTTCACAAGATCTATTGTTTTAAAGCAACAATTGTTGCATTTTCTACACAGACACCTAATTTTCTGCACAAACTGTAATCCTCTACCACTACCATTAGCACATGCCTTGGCAACCCCTAGAAAGTACTCAACACCCTTCACATAATTAGCAGAAAATCGATTCTTCAGCTTCAACTAACCCCTATCCATTTAGTCCGTGTGCATAAATTAGGCTAACATGTGCCTTAGGACGATTCTTGGATCACAGAATGCAGGTTGACCTTATAACTTCACTTGAGAAAGCACCTGCAAAATGAAAACAAGAGAATAAATCTCAAATGTTCCACTGAGGATGTCGAAATAGCAATAGCAAAGCAATCACAACACCAAAGCAATCAAACCTTCTCTAACAGGGTCGACGCAGAGAACAGAACCAAACACACCAGAACCATAACAACAAGTTCCACAAAGTAGAAACCAACAGTTTACAACAATGTCCACAAAACACAAACCAGATAACTCAGCATCCCTACGCAGCTTACAAAAATCAAAGAACTACTGATAACTCAGAGAATAGTGTGCTTAGATCAGTACAATCGTCTTAAGGAAACGATAAACCCCAAAAAAACCCTTAGGTTGCAATTGAATCCAGAAACTAAATCGTCTTAAGACAAAAAGACCACAAGTAGGGATTCCATTTATCAAAATCAACCAAATCCTCTACAAAATCGTCTTACAATCGGCAAACAACTAAACTCCCCCAAAAATCCACAACGAAAGCTTCTCTCAATCGACTGAAAACGATGCGACAGAAGTGGAAGAGGGTGATCGAAGAGAGTACAGTCGTCTTACTCGATTATGAAGCGATGCGCTTGATCGCTGCTGCGGGGAGGATTCGATGCGACGGCGAAGACAGACTGGTTTCAATTGACAGAGGGTTTTTTGAGCGGCGGCTTTCAATTTTTGGGGCAAAGTTTGGGAGTGGATATGGTTTTGGAGAGCTGGAGGGAATTAGTTCCCGCGCCCTATTTTCCCT